GTTGTGTGCTAGTACGGCACGTGTTTCATGCTGTGTATTAGTGTGTTGTGTGTTAGTACGGCACGTGTTTCATGCTGTATATTAGTGTGTTGTGTGTTAGTACGGCACGTGTTTCATGCTGTATATTAGTGTGTTGTGTGTTAGTACGGCACGTGTTTCATGCTGTATATTAGTGTGTTGTGTGTTAGTACGGCACGTGTTTCATGCTGTGTATTAGTGTGTTGTGTGTTAGTACGGCACGTGTTTCATGCTGTATATTAGTGTGTTGTGTGTTAGTACGACACGTGTTTCATGCTGTGTATTAGTGTGTTGTGTGTTAGTACGGCACGTGTTTCATGCTGTATATTAGTGTGTTGTGTGTTAGTACGGCACGTGTTTCATGCTGTGTATTAGTGTGTTGTGTGTTAGTACGACACGTGTTTCATGCTGTGTATTAGTGTGTTGTGTGTTAGTACGACACGTGTTTCATGCTGTGTATTAGTGTGTTGTATGTTAGTACGACACGTGTTTCATGCTGTGTATTAGTGTGTTGTGTGTTAGTACGACACGTGTTTCATGCTGTGTATTAGTGTGTTGTGTGTTAGTACGGCACGTGTTTCATGCTGTATATTAGTGTGTTGTGTGTTAGTACAGCACGTGTTTCATGCTGTATATTAGTGTGTTTTGTGTTAGTACGACACGTGTTTCATGCTGTGTATTAGTGTGTTGTGTGTTAGTACGGCACGTGTTTGATGCTGTGTATTAGTGTGTTGTGTGTTAGTACGGCACGTGTTTCATGCTGTGTATTAGTGTGTTGTGTGTTAGTACGGCACGTGTTTCATGCTGTGTATTAGTGTGTTGTGTGTTAGTACGGCACGTGTTTCATGCTGTATATTAGTGTGTTGTGTGTTAGTACGGCGCGTGTTTCATGCTGTGTATTAGTGTGTTGTGTGTTAGTACGGCACGTGTTTCATGCTGTGTATTAGTGTGTTGTGTGTTAGTACGGCACGTGTTTCATGCTGTGTATTAGTGTGTTGTGTGTTAGTACGGCACGTGTTTCATGCTGTACATTAATGTGTTGTGTGTTAGTACGACACGTGTTTCATGCTGTACATTAGTGTGTTGTGTGTTAGTACGACACGTGTTTCATGCTGTGTATTAGTGTGTTGTGTGTTAGTACGGCACGTGTTTCATGCTGTACATTAGTGTGTTGTGTGTTAGTACGATACGTGTTTCATGCTGTATATTAGTGTGTTGTGTGTTAGTACGGCACGTGTTTCATGCTGTACATTAGTGTGTTGTGTGTTAGTACGACACGTGTTTCATGCTGTATATTAGTGTGTTGTGTGTTAGTACGACACGTGTTTCATGCTGTGTATTAGTGTGTTGTGTGTTAGTACGGCACGTGTTTCATGCTGTACATTAGTGTGTTGTGTGTTAGTACGACACGTGTTTCATGCTGTACATTAGTGTGTTGTGTGTTAGTACGACACGTGTTTCATGCTGTATATTAGTGTGTTGTGTGTTAGTACGGCACGTGTTTGATGCTGTGTATTAGTGTGTTGTGTGTTAGTACGGCACGTGTTTCATGCTGTGTATTAGTGTGTTGTGTGTTAGTACGGCACGTGTTTCATGCTGTGTATTAGTGTGTTGTGTGTTAGTACGGCACGTGTTTCATGCTGTATATTAGTGTGTTGTGTGTTAGTACGGCGCGTGTTTCATGCTGTGTATTAGTGTGTTGTGTGTTAGTACGGCACGTGTTTCATGCTGTGTATTAGTGTGTTGTGTGTTAGTACGGCACGTGTTTCATGCTGTATATTAGTGTGTTGTGTGTTAGTACGGCGCGTGTTTCATGCTGTGTATTAGTGTGTTGTGTGTTAGTACGGCACGTGTTTCATGCTGTGTATTAGTGTGTTGTGTGTTAGTACGGCACGTGTTTCATGCTGTGTATTAGTGTGTTGTGTGTTAGTACGGCACGTGTTTCATGCTGTACATTAATGTGTTGTGTGTTAGTACGACACGTGTTTCATGCTGTACATTAGTGTGTTGTGTGTTAGTACGACACGTGTTTCATGCTGTGTATTAGTGTGTTGTGTGTTAGTACGGCACGTGTTTCATGCTGTACATTAGTGTGTTGTGTGTTAGTACGATACGTGTTTCATGCTGTATATTAGTGTGTTGTGTGTTAGTACGGCACGTGTTTCATGCTGTACATTAGTGTGTTGTGTGTTAGTACGACACGTGTTTCATGCTGTATATTAGTGTGTTGTGTGTTAGTACGACACGTGTTTCATGCTGTATATTAGTGTGTTGTGTGTTAGTACGGCACGTGTTTCATGCTGTACATTAGTGTGTTGTGTGTTAGTACGACACGTGTTTCATGCTGTACATTAGTGTGTTGTGTGTTAGTACGGTGCGTGTTTCATGCTGTATATTAGTGTGTTGTGTGTTAGTACGGCACGTGTTTCATGCTGTACATTAGTGTGTTGTGTGTTAGTACGACACGTGTTTCATGCTGTACATTAGTGTGTTGTGTGTTAGTACGATACGTGTTTCATGCTGTATATTAGTGTGTTGTGTGTTAGTACGGCACGTGTTTCATGCTGTACATTAGTCTGTTGTGTGTTAGTACGACACGTGTTTCATGCTGTATATTAGTGTGTTGTGTGTTAGTACGACACGTGTTTCATGCTGTATATTAGTGTGTTGTGTGTTAGTATGGCACGTGTTTCATGCTGTACATTAGTGTGTTGTGTGTTAGTACGACACGTGTTTCATGCTGTACATTAGTGTGTTGTGTGTTAGTACGGTGCGTGTTTCATGCTGTATATTAGTGTGTTGTGTGTTGATGATTCCGTCGTCGGATAGCACGCAGCTCCTCCGCTGCTGGACGTCTGGTCTGTTCTCAGTGGGTGCTGGTCGATGTGTGTATTAAACACACGGCGCATTCGATGGCGCTCTCCTCTTCCTCACGGGCGGCCGGTCAGGCTCTTTCCACTGCTCCGTTCTCTCTCTTAACTTCGTTATCCAGAGTTGTATCAATCGGGATAAAACGATTATCTTTATTAAACATTTATTGATTACCTTAGTGTGTTTATGTTATGTTAGGTCTCCAAATTCATCTCTCAACGCAGGATACAGTTCTTATGAATACGAGTTTTGCATGGACTTGGAAAGAAACACTCAAAAACTTCTATGTTAAGCAATTTTTATTCTAAACAAAAATATGACACTCTAATATGCGAACTCTCAATCTCGGAATTATCCACGATACCATCGGGGAGATTCCTCTCAGTGAGCAGCACACTTAACCATCAAGGTTTTTTTTTCTTTGCAACCACACATCATTAATTCCACCGCGTAACGAGCATATCCGGCGATAGGTAGAGTCTTTAACACAGGCATGCAACGATAGTCATACGAAAGGCAATAAGCAACTAATTATATCCCGAAAGCAAAAGCATACGTCAATAGATTCATCGGCAAGATTATGCAATTAACGAAAATGAATGACTAAAACACTTCTAACAATCGTATTCATGTCTCGACGGCAGCAACTGCTTTTCACGATCAGTTGATATTGAACGCACCACCTTGAAATGGCAACCCTTTTCGAAACACAAAGATAACTTGTTAGAATGAATGTATTCGTCCCGATGTGCGTGTTGTGTGTGTGTGTGTTGTCCCCTTGTCAAATTAATTAATTAATATTTTTTTAAAGCCGGGAGTTGTGTCGTGAGCTTGCGGGGGTGGGGCATACACACAGCGGCTTCACTCCCTGCTTGCTCGCTCGGGCGTGTCTGCAGCCTTTGGCTCACTCTCTCCACTGCTAGATGAGTGGCGTCGGCACGATGTTGTCCTTGAAGAGGCTCGGTTGCTTGAAGCTCGGTGGCGCCCGGGTGGTGCTGCTCGTGCACTCGTGCGCTGGCGGCTGGCTGCGCTCGTTCGCTTGTGCGTTGGTGGCTGGCACCTTTGTGCTCTATGGCCGTTGCAGCTGTTGGTCCACAGCTGGGTGACGAGTCGGCACGACGCTCGCCGTCGTGGTGCACGATGATTCCGTCGTCGGATAGCACGCAGCTCCTCCGCTGCTGGACGTCTGGTCTGTTCTCAATGGGTGCTGGTCGATGTGTGTATTAAACACGCGGCGCATTCGATGGCGCTTTCCTCTTCTTCACGGGCGGCCGGTCAGGCTCTTTCCACTGCTCCGTTCTCTCTCTTTGCTTTTGCCTTTGGCGTGCAGCGGACAGCTTCACACGGGCACCCGCTGATGCCCCTCCCGCCCTCACTTCAAGGCTGCGCTGGTTCAGGTTCACTTCGTTCTGCGAGAAGCGACACCGGGTATCGGTGTTTGCTCCCTCGCGACGGCACCGCCAGCCGGAGCACGGCTGAAACCCAGCCTCGACCCAGACTGAACTCAGACTTCTGCGACTCTAACGACCCCTCCTCGTCACATCTCTCCTCGAGGCACGACCCATGGTTGGCGTCGATGTCTCGGCAAGCCTCCGCCCCAACTGCCTTGCGAGCCTCCCTCCCAACGCTGCGTCGCAAGCCGAGTCGAACCAGACTGAACTGCGTGATGTGCGTTTGTGCTTAAAACCCAAAAACGTGAAAAACCCCTCCCCTCTGCCCTCTCTGCACATCTCTTGTGAGAGAAAAACAAACAGAAAAAACAGACACCCCAAGAATGCCAGACCACAGACCCCCCCCTCACGACCGCCCTAACCCCCCACTCCCCCTGTGTGGGTCATTTTGAAGCCAGACCCCGCCATATGTATTTATGGCTGGCATGTGTTTGTCGAACAAAGGTGGCCGAGGAGGTCCTGACATTTGCTGTTTAATGGCATTCCTCGTTTTCCAGATGCCCGGCGTGGCCTGTGAGGAGTAGCGGGTTGTTTTCATTATTTAATTAAAATATATATATATATTGGCCTAATTATTCTTAATATTAATTTTAGGAAAAAGGGGCATAAATACAACACCCTGACGGGGACGCCGTGCGCGTGATGCCGCCCTCTCCCCAGGGCCCTATGCTCAACTCCTCAGAGAGCTGCCCGGCCTCCGGGCTGGAGCGCCCCGAGGTGCTGGGCTGGCTGCTGGAGGCGTGGACAGCGTGGACGGGCCTGGAGGGCCTCGACGTCTGCCTGGAGTACGCGGCCCACCTGCTCTGGGTCTTCACGCCGCTGCTCGTCGTCTTCATCTTGCCGCTCTTCATCCTGCTCTTCCTCTACCTCTCCATCCTCTTCCTGCACGTCTACGGCAGCAAGAGCGTGCTGCGAACGGCCTACTCACACAGCTTCTGGGACGGAGCGCGCAAGACGCTCGCCGCGCTCTGGGACGGCCACGCCACCATCTGGCACGGTGAGCCGCCCCTGCGGCACCCCAACTATTAAACGAGAAATATTTTTTATTTTTACAGGCAAGGTCCCATTGGGCTACGACGTTGCTCGTTTTCAGAAGCGATCTAGCCGCCACAAATGATGGCTCAATGAAGTGGCTGATCGCGTGGAAAGTTATCGTGGCCAAATATTCTTAAATGCACCGGCTTCGCCCAGGTCGCCATCAACCGGAGAACTCAGAGAAAAATCCACGCGACCACGGGGCGGGAGAGACACACAAACTCCAAATATACAGCGTCAGGGTCGAGAATGAACCCATGACCTCCTTTATACCAGGCGAGGCAGTTAACACCTCGCCACCAGGGCGCCTCCACATGCGGTAGCTGTGGTGGTGACGGTGCTGGTGGTGGTAATGTAGCGGCGGTGCCGAGGGTGGTAGAAGTGGTTGAGGTGGTAGTGGTGGTTGTGAGGGTGGTGGTGATTTTGCGCTACGAACCTGGCGATCCAAGTTCGATTTCCGCTCACGGCCAATACCAGTGACAATTATCTTAACCAGTCCTGGGCCTCCCCTAGGTCGACTCAGCCTTAATTGAGTACCTTACCTGGTGCGGTGTGTAAATATCGCCACTGGGGAGACAAAGGCGGCCGGGCGTGGTCCTGGCCACCCACCTCCTCGTGTGCCGTGCCAATCTTCATAGGCGCTCGCTAACAGCACTTGCACCGACAGTCTGTTAAGACTACAGTGATACCTCGGTTCACGAACGCTTCTGTTCACGAACAACTCGGTTCACGAACAGAAAAGTTCATAAAAATATGCTCCGGTTCACGAACTCCGCTTCGGTTCACGAACAGGAGCCGCGGCCATTTTAATGCTATTTCCAGGCTGTCACATGGTCGTGACTTCCTGTAGGAAGATCGTGGAGAGAAGAGACACAGAAAGAAGTACTGTGAGTACTGTGAAGACACTTTCAGTGACTTTTTGCTTTTTGGTGTGCTTTTTAGCACATACAGTACTGTACTGTACTACTGTACTGTACTGTACAATACTGTACTTACTGTATTGTACAGTTCACCCGTTTGAGTGCTTACTGAAGTCATCTCAAGCAAGGTTAGTGTTCTCTCTTTATACATTACTATACTGTACAGTACTAATGTGTACTGTAATTTGTTTCATATTTTTGTGCTTCAAAAACCAAAAAAAAAGGTCAGAACGGATTAACCGGATTTACATTGAACCCTATGGGAAAATGTGCCTCGGTTCATGACCAATTCGGTTCGCGACCAGAGTCAGTTCACAAATTAAGTTTGTGAACCGAGGTATCACTGTACATGGGGATCTTTGCCTTTATCTCGTTGTGTGTGCGTTGACTTTACAGGCTACGAGGTTCACGGATTGGACAAGATCCCAGACGAGGGCCCGGCCCTGATCATCTACTACCACGGCGCCATCCCCATCGACTACTACTACCTGGTGTCCAGGCTCATCCTGCAGAAAGGCCGGACCTGCCACTCGGTCGCCGATCACTTCCTCTTCAAGATCCCCGGTGAGCGGCTCAGCGGGCCACCCCTCCCCAGACCCACGCCACGGCCACCCCCTCCCCACACCCACGCCACGGCCACCCCTCCCCAGACCCATGCCACGGCCACCCCTCCCCAGACCCACGCCAAGGCCACCCCCTTCCCAGACCCACGCCACGGTTACACCAGACCCACGCCAAGGCCACCCCTCCCCAGACCCACGCCACTGCCACCCCTGCCCCAGACCCACGCCACGGCCACCCACTCCACGGCACCGATGTCAAGAGCTCTCACCTGCTCTCTCACCTGCTCTCTCACCGGCTCGCTCACCGGCTCGCTCATCGATTCGCTCACCAGCCTCCGCGCGACCGTGCAAGCACGGCCGGTCCGTGCATCGATCGACGTTTGTTGCGCGCGTGCAGGCTTCCGGCTGTTGCTCGAGGTCTTCTTCGTGACGCACGGCCCCAGGGAGGAGTGCGTGCGTGCGCTGCGCGCTGGCCACCTCCTCGCCATCTCACCGGGCGGCGTGCGCGAGGCGCTCTTCAGCGACAATGCCTACCGCATCGAGTGGGGCCGCCGCACCGGCTTCGCCCAGGTCGCCATCGACGCCCGAGTGGTGAGTGGCCGGCTCGTCGGCGACGGCGCCCTCTCCCTCGTCGCGAGCGGCGGTGGCGGCGGTGGCGTTGTTCGTGCGAACCCTTGACATCGGCCTCGTTGACGTCTTGAACACTGCTGTCATCAACGTTGTCGTCGTCTTGAGTGCTGTCATTGTCGTCTCCGTCACGAACATCGCGATCGTGATTATTGTCAATATCAGTACAAACGTCATCATCGACATCATCAGCAGCAGCAGCAGCTTAATTTTTATAGCCAGAATGTTTAGGAGCACAGCATCATCATCAGGAACAACGGCATCATGGTGATGTTGGTATCATTACAATCTTCAATGACAGACACACTATCAACATCATCAAAAGAAGCATCATATCATTATCACTAATGAGTGTCATTATCATGGGTGTCATTATGATGGCTGTAATCATTCTCATGGCCACCATCATCACAACCATCGTCATGATCATCATCTCGTGTGAGTTGATATTGAATTGGGAACGTTACTGCATAGCGCTGCATCTACCGCACGACGGTGAAGCTGATCATGCGTTGTGGCAGCGTCTCTTCTGTCAGCTTGCGTCAGTGTGCCGCGTGTGTGTGTGTGTCTTCGTCTGTGCGTTTTTTTTAGCTCGTTCGTAACTTTGCGTGGTCTGTGTTTTTCTCCGTGCGCAGCCGATCATCCCCATGTTTACCCAGAACATTCGGGAGGGCTTCCGCACGCTCGGAGGACTGAGTGAGTGCCCCTGCCAAACGCCACGTCGCCCTTGGGCGTCTCCACCGCTTGCCTCACCACGTAGCCCTGGGCCGTCTCCACCTCATTCCTCACCACGTAGCCCTGGGCAGTCTCCACTACTTGCCTCACCACGTAGCCCTGAGCAGTCTCCACCTCATTCCTCACCACGTAGCCCTGGGCAGTCTCCACTGCTTGCCTCACCACGCAGCCCTGGGTCGTCCCCACCGTTTGGCTCACCACGTAGCCCTGGGTCGTCCCCACCATTTGCCCCGCCGCAACCGCCGCCGCTACCGACTCGAGTCCCAATCACCCCTTCCATGGGATCGCGCCGCTGCGGATGTTGCTGCTGCTGCCGCCATTCTCGAATCTTAAGCCACATTCGGAAGAACGCTGCTTTCGAGCGGAGTGGAACAACGCGGACATCCAAAATAAACACCTGCTCACTCGAGACCCCAAAATATCGTACCTCCGAGCTTTTACATTCCCCCGGCGAAGACAATTGCGGTGGAGCCATCATCCGCATCAGAACCTCACCACGCCGATGCTGCACCGTGGCTCCTTGATAAGTGGAAAATTCCAAAACAAGCCACAGCAGTGGCATTGTGGCCATGCAAACTAAACGAAACTCACTGTAGCCTCTGTTCCTTCAGTCCTTCAGCAGAAGTGGGAAAAGCGAAAGGACATTAACTCTCTCTCCTAAAGCCCTCTCTGTCGTAGCCAGCAGACCTCGACATTGGCGTTGAGCTCTTGAACATATTGCTGCCATCACACGCACGAATAGAATATAATTTTATTCGTAATAAAGGTTTTTGGGAGAGGTCGCGTAAGTATAAATGTGTCGTAATACCCTCCACCGCCCGACACAGCCAGTAAGGTTTGAAACGTAAACAAAACGCAGCAATTAGTTATGACATTAGCCCACCGGTGTGTTGGAGAGTAAAATCCACAATATTTACAATTTGAATACGACGTTTCTGGAAACATTTCTGCTTAGGATGCCGCTTAAATGCGTAAACGCGACATGCAGAGTTCTAATTTGCACGGTCCCCCTGCTCAAGTGAGCAACACAAAGGTCCCTCTGTTAACTCTCTTGGACCCTTGGGAGTAGTGCTGTTCGGGAGCGCCTATTAAGGCTGGCTCGGTTTGCCGAGCACCGTTGCGTGCGACAGACCTCGCGTGGACGCTTCGAAGCCCAACCCACGCGGTATCAGCCGCTATTTGTTAACAGGTCCTGGCAAACTTTGTCAATGAGATATTTGTGTTTGTATATGCTTGGCGGGCGCAACAGGGCCGTGCAACGACAAAGTGAAACTGTAATAAGTGCATAGTAATAATAACAAGCGTTGCTTTATATACCTGGGAAAAGCTCACAGAGTCTCTGCTGTTGCAGGAGTCTTGCGCTGCCTGTACGAGCGATGCCGCCTGCCCTTGGTGCCTATTTACGGCGGCTTCCCCGTGAAGTTCCGCACCTACCTGGGAGATCCGATCCCCTACGAGGCCGGCACGACTGCCCCGGAGCTCACCGAGAAGGTGCCCGCCTGCCCGCCTGCCCGCCTGCCCGCCTGCATTGTGACCGTGGTTACCGCATCTGGCCAGCGCGTAACTTGCAGTTCCATTTGTTTTGGCAGACCAGGCAAGCCCTGCAGAGGCTGATAAACGAGCACCAGATGATCCCGGGGAACATCTTCCGCGCTCTGCTCGACCGCCTGAGCCGCCGCACCAAGGACGAGGAGTGACGTTGGCGTGGCGGCGGCGACGACGGCGGCGGCTGACGCCCACCGGGGCGACCTCGGCCTCGACCTCCTTGACCTCCTCGACCTCCTCGTCATCCCAAAGCGCGAGCTCGTGGAGGCCGCCGGGCCCCGTGCCGCCACGAGCACGCCCGGCTCGCGGCGCAGGTCGCCGCGGGACATTCCGTAACCGGCCCTCGCGGGATCTCAGGGGCTCGCGAGTCGATCGCGACTCCTCGAACGACCTCATCGGGTCAAACGTCTTTGTGTATTGCCAGGGTCGCGGGAACATATTTCACGCGCCGTGTCGCGTAGAGCGCACATCGGAAATTGCGCTCCAGGCTTGCGTCAGACGTTCGGTACGGTGTCGTGGTTCACTGGCACGCTGCACTTTCTGACAGTTCTGCCGCTGTCTGTGTGGGGGTCCCTGTGTATGGGGCACCACGGTGGCGAGATGTTAACTCCTTCACCTGGTATGCAGGAGTTTCGTGGGTTCGATCCCAAGCATGACGCCTGCTGTATATTTGGAGTTTGCGTGTCTCTCTCCCCGCATTTAGAATCAACATCACGCATTCAGCTGCTCTAAATGTCCACGTGATAAGCCACTTTGTTGAGCTGTCATTTGTGGCCAGGCAGCTTCTGAAGAAGAGCTACACAGCTCAGTGGGCCTTAAACCTGGCGAAATTAAAAATAGTGGAAAAAATATAGAGGCCACCCGGGCTGAATGCAGGTGCGCATGTGCACGCTGGCGGAGTGGAAATGCCCGCACGCTGCGCTGTGCTGATCGCAAGCAAAGGCGAGACCGGTGGCCATGCGACTGTGAAGGGGGGTGGGGGGCACCACAGCTGTGGGTCCTCATCCCAGCTGCTGCGAGGCCGCGTGAATCCACACGGGTGCTCTGGTAAGCGTGCGAAACGCCTCGGGACTTGCGATCTTTCGGGAGCCCCGCGAGTGTCCACGAGTCCCGACCGTGGGCTTCGAGAGAGGTACACTGGACGTGGTGGTGGGCTGTGTGCGGTTGTACTTTCTGGGTCGACGACCCGGAAAAACGCGCCCCGGTTGCTTATGTCCCAGTATTTGCGTACAAAGCACTTCCGAAGCTACGTCAGTGCAGTCAGGGGTCACCGCGCTGGCCCTTCCGAACGGCGTGCGGGAGGAACACGACTCATGAGGGCGGTGGTGCCTTTATCTCTGATTACTTACGATTCGACTCCAGAGGAGGGGAGAGAGAGGTGCTGGGTCGGCACCTTACCCAGGCACAGGCCAGCACCCACACCCTCCTTGCGTTTGCTGCGTCCAGGTTGGGGGGAGAGTGCTCTTGGAATTGATGGCGTGAGTCAGTTATGCAACATCTGTGCGAGCAGTGGAAATGTAGAGAAGGAGAAATGTCACCCACCGCGGAGATGGAGCCACGAAATCGGCTCGTATGCAGTTGCCTTGTGGATCGATGCATTGCTGGATTGAGAGGTGGCAGCGGCTTGGAAGGCTTTCATCCGGCAGTGGATCGACCATGGCTGATGACGACGATGAGCCCATTAAGCATCCGAGTTACTCTTCGCAAAGGGACCATTGCCGCTTCTGGCACGGTGATCACAGAGGGCCCTGCTGGGTTTTTCCATCTCTCCATGCCTTTGTCTCTGACCTCCATCACGTGGCTGTCGTGGTGAATTCACTCTCAGGTTCTTAAATGGCAATCGCTAAACTGGTGACCATCCGATAATTGGTTCTTTACCCTTCTATCTGGCAACAAAACTGACACCTTTTTGCAAGGAGTCATGTTTGCATAGACCGCAATACCTGCAGTCATAAATACAAACAAAAGACATAACTCTGATAATGTGCACTGTCCTTGAAGTTGATTGGTCCACACCCGAGACAGCTTTCCTTCGAGCCTAGTCTCATATGGGTTGGACCAGATGACGCCAAAAGGCGCACAACTCAAGGACAATGCACCATCAGAGTATGAGAGCTCGGGGCAAGCATCTACACTATGGGGACCTCATTTGCCAGTAAAAATATGATAATTGGTTCTTTACCCTTCTATCTGGCAACAAAACTGACACCTTTTTGCAAGGAGTCATGTTTGCATAGACCGCAATACCTGCAGTCATAAATACAAACAAAAGACATAACTCTGATAATGTGCACTGTCCTTGAAGTTGATTGGTCCACACCCGAGACAGCTTTCCTTCGAGCCTAGTCTCATATGGGTTGGACCAGATGACGCCAAAAGGCGCACAACTCAAGGACAATGCACCATCAGAGTATGAGAGCTCGGGGCAAGCATCTACACTATGGGGACCTCATTTGCCAGTAAAAATATGATAATTGGTTCTTTACCCTTGTATCTGGCAACAAAACTGACACCTTTTTGCAAGGAGTCATGTTTGCATAGACCGCAATACCTGCAGTCATAAATACAAACAAAAGACATAACTCTGATAATGTGCACTGTCCTTGAAGTTGATTGGTCCACACCCGAGACAGCTTTCCTTCGAGCCTAGTCTCATATGGGTTGGACCAGATGACGCCAAAAGGCGCACAACTCAAGGACAATGCACCATCAGAGTATGAGAGCTCGGGGCAAGCATCTACACTATGGGGACCTCATTTGCCAGTAAAAATATGATAATTGGTTCTTTACCCTTCTATCTGGCAACAAAACTGACACCTTTTTGCAAGGAGTCATGTTTGCATAGACCGCAATACCTGCAGTCATAAATACAAACAAAAGACATAACTCTGATAATGTGCACTGTCCTTGAAGTTGATTGGTCCACACCCGAGACAGCTTTCCTTCGAGCCTAGTCTCATATGGGTTGGACCAGATGACGCCAAAAGGCGCACAACTCAAGGACAATGCACCATCAGAGTATGAGAGCTCGGGGCAAGCATCTACACTATGGGGACCTCATTTGCCAGTAAAAATATGATAATTGGTTCTTTACCCTTCTATCTGGCAACAAAACTGACACCTTTTTGCAAGGAGTCATGTTTGCATAGACCGCAATACCTGCAGTCATAAATACAAACAAAAGACATAACTCTGATAATGTGCACTGTCCTTGAAGTTGATTGGTCCACACCCGAGACAGCTTTCCTTCGAGCCTAGTCTCATATGGGTTGGACCAGATGACGCCAAAAGGCGCACAACTCAAGGACAATGCACCATCAGAGTATGAGAGCTCGGGGCAAGCATCTACACTATGGGGACCTCATTTGCCAGTAAAAATATGATAATTGGTTCTTTACCCTTCTATCTGGCAACAAAACTGACACCTTTTTGCAAGGAGTCATGTTTGCATAGACCGCAATACGCCTTTTGGCGTCATCTGGTCCAACCCATATGAGACTAGGCTCGAAGGAAAGCTGTCTCGGGTGTGGACCAATCAACTTCAAGGACAGTGCACATCAGAGTTATGTCTTTTGTTTGTATTTATGACTGCAGGTATTGCGGTCTATGCAAACATGACTCCTTGCAAAAAGGTGTCAGTTTTGTTGCCAGATAGAAGGGTAAAGAACCAATTATCATATTTTTACTGGCAAATGAGGTCCCCATAGTGTAGATGCTTGCCCCGAGCTCTCATACTCTGATGGTGCATTGTCCTTGAGTTGTGCGCCTTTTGGCGTCATCTGGTCCAACCCATATGAGACTAGGCTCGAAGGAAAGCTGTCTCGGGTGTGGACCAATCAACTTCAAGGACAGTGCACATTATCAGAGTTATGTCTTTTGTTTGTATTTATGACTGCAGGTATTGCGGTCTATGCAAACATGACTCCTTGCAAAAAGGTGTCAGTTTTGTTGCCAGATAGAAGGGTAAAGAACCAATTATCATATTTTTACTGGCAAATGAGGTCCCCATAGTGTAGATGCTTGCCCCGAGCTCTCATACTCTGATGGTGCATTGTCCTTGAGTTGTGCGCCTTTTGGCGTCATCTGGTCCAACCCATATGAGACTAGGCTCGAAGGAAAGCTGTCTCGGGTGTGGACCAATCAACTTCAAGGACAGTGCACATTATCAGAGTTATGTCTTTTGTTTGTATTTATGACTGCAGGTATTGCGGTCTATGCAAACATGACTCCTTGCAAAAAGGTGTCAGTTTTGTTGCCAGATAGAAGGGTAAAGAACCAATTATCATATTTTTACTGGCAAATGAGGTCCCCATAGTGTAGATGCTTGCCCCGAGCTCTCATACTCTGATGGTGCATTGTCCTTGAGTTGTGCGCCTTTTGGCGTCATCTGGTCCAACCCATATGAGACTAGGCTCGAAGGAAAGCTGTCTCGGGTGTGGACCAATCAACTTCAAGGACAGTGCACATTATCAGAGTTATGTCTTTTGTTTGTATTTATGACTGCAGGTATTGCGGTCTATGCAAACATGACTCCTTGCAAAAAGGTGTCAGTTTTGTTGCCAGATAGAAGGGTAAAGAACCAATTATCATATTTTTACTGGCAAATGAGGTCCCCATAGTGTAGATGCTTGCCTCGAGCTCTCATACTCTGATGGTGCATTGTCCTTGAGTTGTGCGCCTTTTGGCGTCATCTGGTCCAACCCATATGAGACTAGGCTCGAAGGAAAGCTGTCTCGGGTGTGGACCAATCAACTTCAAGGACAGTGCACATTATCAGAGTTATGTCTTTTGTTTGTATTTATGACTGCAGGTATTGCGGTCTATGCAAACATGACTCCTTGCAAAAAGGTGTCAGTTTTGTTGCCAGATAGAAGGGTAAAGAACCAATTATCATATTTTTACTGGCAAATGAGGTCCCCATAGTGTAGATGCTTGCCCCGAGCTCTCATACTCTGATGGTGCATTGTCCTTGAGTTGTGCGCCTTTTGGCGTCATCTGGTCCAACCCATATGAGACTAGGCTCGAAGGAAAGCTGTCTCGGGTGTGGACCAATCAACTTCAAGGACAGTGCACATTATCAGAGTTATGTCTTTTGTTTGTATTTATGACTGCAGGTATTGCGGTCTATGCAAACATGACTCCTTGCAAAAAGGTGTCAGTTTTGTTGCCAGATAGAAGGGTAAAGAACCAATTATCATATTTTTACTGGCAAATGAGGTCCCCATAGTGTAGATGCTTGCCCCGAGCTCTCATACTCTGATGGTGCATTGTCCTTGAGTTGTGCGCCTTTTGGCGTCATCTGGTCCAACCCATATGAGACTAGGCTCGAAGGAAAGCTGTCTCGGGTGTGGACCAATCAACTTCAAGGACAGTGCACATTATCAGAGTTATGTCTTTTGTTTGTATTTATGACTGCAGGTATTGCGGTCTATGCAAACATGACTCCTTGCAAAAAGGTGTCAGTTTTGTTGCCAGATAGAAGGGTAAAGAACCAATTATCATATTTTTACTGGCAAATGAGGTCCCCATAGTGTAGATGCTTGCCCCGAGCTCTCATACTCTGATGGTGCATTGTCCTTGAGTTGTGCGCCTTTTGGCGTCATCTGGTCCAACCCATATGAGACTAGGCTCGAAGGAAAGCTGTCTCGGGTGTGGACCAATCAACTTCAAGGACAGTGCACATTATCAGAGTTATGTCTTTTGTTTGTATTTATGACTGCAGGTATTGCGGTCTATGCAAACATGACTCCTTGCAAAAAGGTGTCAGTTTTGTTGCCAGATAGAAGGGTAAAGAACCAATTATCATATGTTTACTGGCAAATGAGGTCCCCATAGTGTAGATGCTTGCCCCGAGCTCTCATACTCTGATGGTGCATTGTCCTTGAGTTGTGCGCCTTTTGGCGTCATCTGGTCCAACCCATATGAGACTAGGCTCGAAGGAAAGCTGTCTCGGGTGTGGACCAATCAACTTCAAGGACAGTGCACATTATCAGAGTTATGTCTTTTGTTTGTATTTACGACTGCAGGTATTGCGGTCTATGCAAACATGACTCCTTGCAAAAAGGTGTCAGTTTTGTTGCCAGATAGAAGGGTAAAGAACCAATTATCATATTTTTACTGGCAAATGAGGTCCCCATAGTGTAGATGCTTGCCCCGAGCTCTCATACTCTGATGGTGCATTGTCCTTGAGTTGTGCGCCTTTTGGCGTCATCTGGTCCAACCCATATGAGACTAGGCTCGAAGGAAAGCTGTCTCGGGTGTGGACCAATCAACTTCAAGGACAGTGCACATTATCAGAGTTATGTCTTTTGTTTGTATTTATGACTGCAGGTATTGCGGTCTATGCAAACATGACTCCTTGCAAAAAGGTGTCAGTTTTGTTGCCAGATAGAAGGGTAAAGAACCAATTATCATATTTTTACTGGCAAATGAGGTCCCCATAGTGTAGATGCTTGCCCCGAGCTCTCATACTCTGATGGTGCATTGTCCTTGAGTTGTGCGCCTTTTGGCGTCATCTGGTCCAACCCATATGAGACTAGGCTCGAAGGAAAGCTGTCTCGGGTGTGGACCAATCAACTTCAAGGACAGTGCACATTATCAGAGTTATGTCTTTTGTTTGTATTTATGACTGCAGGTATTGCGGTCTATGCAAACATGACTCCTTGCAAAAAGGTGTCAGTTTTGTTGCCAGATAGAAGGGTAAAGAACCAATTATCATATTTTTACTGGCAAATGAGGTCCCCATAGTGGTGACCATCCATGAACCGGTAACTGTTGTCAGAATCGGTTATCGGTTCTGCAGGTCGGGAATCGGTAACCGATTCCAGTGGGATTTTTAGTCACGGACGGACCGATTTAATCCTTCACCGTTGGTTCAACTGCCGTGCCCTGGAGATGGAGTCGAACCGGTGACCTGTGGATTGAAAACCCGGGGTGGTGACCTTGACACCACCACTGTGGCCTCTTCCTCCGTTTCTCAGAAAGCTAAACGCGTTGTGTTTATTGCTTTCGACGTCTCTCTGTGTGCGGCGATCCGTTCACCGTTTTTTTATCGTAAAATATTTTAACAGCCTTAGTCCGCACGGAACACAGTCATTTAAGTAGAAGTGGTGCATTTCATGACGCGCCTATTGTCCGTGAGAATTGTATATTTTTGACACACATCGCACAGTACAACACATTCCGCAAACGTAGAGTCTTGTTCGCACATATCAGGTTCGTCGCAGCCCAGATCCGACCGCGACGGTGATTCTGGAGTGTGTGTTACGTGTGCCAGCACAGTACACGCAGGCTCCGTGTGCACGGTTGCCGTCAAGACGTCGGCGCAATTCCGCAGAGATTTTCGACGTGCATTGTCTTTTGGCGTCACCGAGCGAGCGGCGGCAGTGGTGGTGAACATTGCGGGACAGCTGCGAGTAGCCGCGTCACGTTGGGGAGGTCGCGTGTCCACGTGCGCCGAGCCAGTGCGTATCGACGTCGTGGTTCGATTTCCCACTGCAGCTGCTCACTGGTGTCCGTGTGAGAGTTTTCAAGCTCGCCCTGCGTTGCGAAGTCGATGTTTAATGACCTCGTCATGTCACAGGCCATTGTGTGCCACGGATACCATTTCCCAAAATGCAGTATGACTAAATACTCTCATTTTTGTCTGCAATTATGAAATCCCAGGTCTCGTTTGTAAGAGAATCACACTGGGTGGGCAGTCACCTGGCTAAACAAACCTCAATCGCTTATGATAATTGTAAAAAAAAAAATCAAAGTGTAGAAATGCGGTGATATGAATGAATGTATAATGTGCTGCCTGTGACTTGACAACCACGTTACGTAAAATAGGCGCCGAGTGTTTATATCAGGTACTAACGAGTGCAATCTGTCAATGCGCGTGGTGGGCCGACCGTGAATTTGTTGACTCGGCGGTAAGGGAAGCGTGCGTGTGTGTCGTTTGCGATGCCAGTGGGAGTGGGTCTACGCTGCCAGGCCTTCGCAGGGCTGTGGGGGGGCACCGACAGCGTCGCTCGCACTCTCTGCCCACGTCCAAGTCCGCGGCCGCCTGATCCTTGTAACGACGTGGCAGGCGGCGACGTGGCCGAGCGGCAAGCGCGTTCGCCGCTTGCTGGAGAGGCTCGCGGTTTTAAAAACGGGCGGCCGGCCCCGGTTAATGCTGCGCGCGTGTATTAACCGTAAATACGTCGCACTGTCTGTTTAGTGGTCGATGTTGAAAAAGCTCCCGTGGTGTTATTTCAAAGATAGCAGGAGGCTGTGTGTGTGCGCGCCAGCGTTTGCGGTCCAAATTTGTAAACGACACCACAAATGAGCGAATCGGGGTAAAGCCACGGAGCAACGTCGTGCCCTTTCCGTCAAACTGCTGTCGACGAAACCCCTCTGCGAGACGTGGCGCCTTGCTGATGGCCTTCTGCTGTAAGAACGGCTCGAGTACCGAATGGACTGGCGGGGCCTTCGATTTAACGCGTGGCCTTTGAAATGGCTTGTTCAGAGACGGGAGTCGAGCCCACACAGCGGAACGGCGATAACCCCGCGATGCCTTTGGCTGCTTTACCCGTTGGCGTGTTTGAACGCCTTTGGTTCGTGCTCGTTCTGGGGAGTTTTTGCAATTGGTGGGCAATTGTCAAACAGAGATGGAGCCCGATTGCCTGGGCGTCGGCGTGCCACGCGGGGTGACTGCACTTCCGTGTGGTTTAAGACCCGACTGCCTGACAGGTTTCACTCCTTGCGGATTTCCAAGCAAATGCAAAACAAAGTCCCGAGGATGTTTTTATAAAACAAATCTGGGAGGTCACTGGTGTTGTGGGATGAATTGGGTTCTGGGCCATGCAGTACGAGTTGAAAATCATTCCATAACAACGGCAGAGCCAGAGGTGGATCTGGTTTCCTGCCAAGGGGGGTCGAGGGGGGCCACCGAGCAAAGCGCCGCTGAAGAGTGGGGTACAGATTTCCCTCGTTATTCACAAAACTTGCTCTCCGCGATTTTGGCAATCCGCGAATCGCATCGAGAGAAAGTGATGAGCGACACTGTTATGAGAGAAAGACGGAACTTCTCTAAGCTTTAGAAATATCTACGATATCCGCAGGACAATATCCATCATCTGCGGAATTTGCTATACACGAGCATTTGCAGAACGTGTCCCTCGCGAATAACGAGGGAATCCTGCAGAGTTGGTTTTCAGCGGGGAAGGGTGAGAAGTCTGGTTTTTCCCACGCGTGTACGACGCCGCGTGTTTGACGCGTGTACAACGCGCGGTCACTTGGGGTCAAGCCAGGACGCGGTCCGGCTTTTGTACGTCGCTTTGTGAAGGCCACCTCCGCCTCTGGGAACTAATGTAATCCTCCCTCTGCTCACGCTAAAGCTGTTGCATTTTACCTCGTCACATTATCGCATGTGCTGATGTGTCTTGTCGTTGTTTAAACCAGTTTTTGTTAGCTGAGTAGAATCATTCGTACGCTTGGCACACCAACCGCATCTGATCGATCGGTCGAGCGGACTGATTGTTTTGTCACCACCGCACTGCAGGTCACGCAATACTCGCTCACCCACCTACCCATTCACACATCACTCACCACACTGCAAGTCAAAACTTCTTTCCGATTCGAACCTTGCACAGCTCCACTTTCAAATTCCCTCCAATCGTTTCTTTTCCCAATCTCTTATAAGAACATTGTGCAGTTTGAGACCTGTAACGCTATTTCACAACTTCAACACTGATATCTGTTGAGCTTGTGCTCAGCAGTTATAATTAAATGTGTTAAAAATAATAACCAGTGCCGGATTATCCTCGTAGCAAAAGTAGCTAGATAATGCTACGGGGCCCGCACTTTCAAGGGCCCCGCTCAAAATGCTTTCAAGCTATCAATTCCGGTTCCGTGATTCTGCACTTGCTCTATTACTATAGTACTATACTGCCTTAAACTTTTATGAACGACTGGGTGTTTAAGGTTAGCGATTTGTCGTATTATCTGGCTGTAGAGCAAATGAAAAAATACGATTATTTTACGATACAAGTAAAAAATCGCGTTTTAATGTGTTTTTTAGGGCCCCTTCATAAAATATGCTACAGGCCTCATCCTGCACAGACTAACTATTCGTTTTCCCTCCAGTGGGACAACTCCCTTCGGTCACAAGTCTCGTGCCAAATACTCCGTCAAGTTCCCACATCAGTGGTCATCACGATCAGCTGTTGAGACAAACTCCGACCTCGGGGAACGAGCCATTTGTCAACATACCACGGACTCTGGGTATATTGAATATGGCCCACAGCTGCGCTGGGCTAGATGGAGTGACGAAATAGATTTTTAGATTTGATGAGAATACCGAGACCATTAAACTCCCCTCACGTGGGAACCTCGTTTCACTGACACTGCTGGCTCAACGCTATGACATAGCCATTGCGTCCCACCTCAGCCACTTGCAGTTGAGTTATCAGAATTAACTTTTATGGATTCCATACTTCGTCTTGTGATCTGTGGACATTGGCTGATGTGGTCTTTTCCACGTTGACCCAAGCTGGCTGGCTGATTTTGCCCTTTCAGTGACATCCAATGTCTGGCAAATCGATATGTTTACCGGCTCCTTCCCTCGCCACTGCTTCTTCCTAAGAACAGAGTAGAATCCACAGCTCACGCTCTCCAAATGATGAGAAAAAAAAACTAACTTTATTCACAGAACAGAAACAAATCAATCATACACTATTTACATTTTAAACCGTGGAATAGCAATGTAAAATTCAGGGAAAATTATTTTGAAAAGATAACATTTTCATTATAAAATTAAAAAAAAACTTAATCTGACGTACTCTTTGGTTCCCGTAGATAGAAAATTAACAGATCACGTTTCGATCGCAACACAAACAACCGTCATCAGGTGAGACAAACACAGCAGGATAACTTGCCTCACTCGACGACGGTTGCTTGTGTTGCGATCGAAACGTCGTGATCTATTTTCTACCTACGCAACTTTACCGAAAGAACCAAAGAGTATGGATTCCTGCCGTCACAAAAGCTTCAAATCAAGATTGAATCTGACGTACATAAAATACACATCCCAAACATTTAAATAATATAATATACTCTTGACATATACAACCACAAATCTATTACGTTACATGCATTGATACCGAACACAAGATATAAAAACCATGTACGAATGTAAACACAATTATTCTGCCTGTAGCGTGTGAAGCGATCTCACAATTAAATTTGTTGTTGCACCTTGGGGAATTAAGAAAAATTCACAAACAACTAAACGGGGGAATTCTTTCATCGCATTTCAAACTCTGCCGTTCAAATCTTGGCTGTTCCTGCCCACGGCATCGTGGCCAGCCCAGTGGGTTTGTGAGGGTCAGGCTGCGCGATTGCGACACCAATTTCGGGTTTGGCGGGTACAGTAAAGCGAGATTAGTGGCGCTCCTGTGTGCCCACTGCACACAGGCGCTGGCGTTGCGCTGGTTTCACCCTCGGCTGTTCCTCGCTCGGAGGTCAACCGCCTCGGTGCCCGCGTGACTGCAATTTTGAAAAGAAGAATCCCACCACTTTAACCTCGGTGATATGCATGGAAACAATTAATTTAGTGTCAAGAGCGTAGCTTACAGAGCACGAGCACCGTCCCCCATGACAATGGAGAGGAGTTTGTCGCTGCGCCGTGGGGTTAGTGAGTGGATGAGATATTTCGGTCTCAGACAGCCGCAGCGTCCCGACCGTCGGGCATCGCTCCCACTGAACAGAACGGCGAAGCAATTTGAGGTTTTTCGCAAAGAGAGGCGGATGAGAGCGGTGGAACGCCGGGACTTCGAGCGACGAGGCTGCGTCCCTGGAGAGTCGCCCGCTAGTCTTTGAGGTAGCAGAAGACGCTGCGCGGGGGCTGCTTGGGGCCCGGCTGCTTGGAGGCCGTGCGAGCGCGCTTTGGGGACGGCTGCGAGCCAGGGTCCATCAGGGATCGCCGCACCTGGGGGAGGGGCGGCGGTGAGCATCGCCGTCCAAACACGAACGCGACGTCGGCGACGGCGCAGAATCCTGCTGCTGTCATGGCTGTGGTGGTGGAGCACCCCAGCTCCTACCTCGCCGCACTTGGCGATAACGTGATGTGAGAGCAGTCGGGGTGATCGATGGTCCAGCACCCACCGGTTCGCTCCGGTTACTCATTCAAACGGTGGTCAGTTGCTTCCTCATCGCTCTCCAATAGCTACCACCATGGTTTACCGTTTCTGTGAAATTAACACGTTGATTTCTCCACTCGTGCCAAGGACTGCATCAACTCCTCCACACTGTCAAACCACCACTCTTGCAGGTCGCAACACTTCACAGAATCAGAATATTTATTTAAACTTCATCCCTGGAATCACGTCACCAGACAATGTACCGCGTAACGCACACGGGAAACGGATGCAGGATCCGAAACACCCGCAATCGCTCCTACACCGGCATATCACGCACGCATCGCAGACAGTTGCGGCGTTTGTCGCTTTGACAAAACGTCGTCGTTGTCGTCGCTCTGGAAACCCAAAACGTTCGCTGGCCACCACTCCTCCCTCCTCCTCTGCCTACAACACATTCCTCCTCCTTACACGTCCTCACTCGTCCTTACACCTCATTCCTCCTTACACCACACTCCTCACCTGCGGCTTGCACTCCTGGGGCTTGGTTGCCGAGCCCCGGCCGGCGCCGGGTGACAAGGCGTGGAAGACGAAGTTGCGCGAGGCCCCGCGCACGGCGCTCGGGTTGGGGTCCGACATGGAGGCTAACTTCGCCAGCAGCTCGCGGGGCTTGTTGAGGAAGGAGCCGCTCTTCACCTGCAGCACGCACAGCGCACACACGCGCGTGCACACACACAACACACACGCGCGTGTCTCGCGGCGGACAACAACCACCATTCGCCACTAAGTGGCGGTGACGTCACCACGGCGCTTGTGCCAGGCGATGTGCACGATAAGGCCACGTGAACTGTCGAACGCCGGGCTGGCAGGAGGTCTCGAGACAGACCCAGGTGCCGTGGGTTGGCTGACTGAGATGACCGGTAGATGCACCCAGCTGTACCCCACTACTGTGGCACTCCACTCGTTGTTGCGAGCGTCGCTCTTCTGCCCTCCGTTGCTGCTACAGGGCGACTGCCTCCATCTGCCCAGTAGCTTCCTACACAGTCACTAGCTCCATATCCTCTTGAACAACATCACTCCATCTCTTCCCTAGTCCCCTCTATCCGGGCAAACAAAAGCTGTTTAGGCATGCGGTGGCTGGACATGCAGGCTACATGACCCAGTCAAAGCAGCCTTGCCTGCCTGAGCTCATCAATGGGATTTTGTCCAGATCTTGTCCAGATCGCGGCGCACACACACACACGTGTGTCTTGCGACGCACACACACGCAGTGGGCCTCCGCGTCGTTGCGTTGTTTCGCAGGTGATCCGAGCTTGCGGGGGAAGTTCCACGTGACTATGGTAGGAGTGTTGATTTCACAGAAGGTGGTGGTGTGTGGTGTTGGAGGCGATAGCGGTATTGATGATTGTAAAGGTTATTACGATGGTGATGAAAGCGGTGATGACCGAGATAGTGGTTATGACCGAGATAGTGGTTATGATAAACATGATGTTAATGAGTGATAATAGTGGTGGTGATGCAATACTGATCATGATGGTGAAGAAAAAAGTTGCTTTTATAACATTTAAAAACGGGACCATTGAAGGATCTCACCTGCGCGAGGCCATAGTGAGGGCCCATTCGCACAGGCACTCTAGCAGGCTTTGATTGCAGCGGCGTCTCGTTCTCGGCCACGGATCCTTCTGCAAGGAAGACATCACCGACCGGGTCAAGACAGACAGACAGGCAGAGAAGCTAGGCAGGCAGACAGGTAGGTAGACTTCATGAAAAAATTAAAAGACACCACATCTCTGTATTCACCACATTTGTATGTAGGTAACATTTTATAGCCGATTTTATACTGAACTTTTTAATTTTACTAGGTAAGGCACACTGAGCTGCATAGCTCTTTTTTAGAAGCCACCTGGCTATCACAAATGCTCACTCAAGGAAGTGGTTTATCATCACGTGAAATGTATATCAGCCAAAAACACTAAACACGTGAATGTTGATTCTAAATTTGGAGGGAAAATCCAGAAAACCCAGAGAAGAATCTAATCCAAATATACGCGGGTCAGGGTTGGGATTGAACCTACGGCCTTTATACCAGGCGAAGGTAATTAACATCGCGCCACCTTGATGCCAAAATATATATTTTGTGTAATACCCGTGTTCGGTTCATCAGGGGCCGACCGTCGGTGCCAGTACCCAGACACTACTTGGTAGTTAAATTTCGATTTAAAGCTTTCGTGACTGCAGGGATTAATCTTCTTGGTTCTTTCGGTAAAGTCACGTAGAAGGGAAATAATAAAATAATAAAACATAATAAAATACAATTTGCATGCGTTGTGGCCGAAACGTCGTGCGAATTGTATTTAATTTTTATTATTTTATTATTTCCCTTCTACATGGTAGTTGACTGTAAACCCTGTGTGTGTGGGCCCTGTGCAAGGCAGAGTGCCGACGGGAGCGGCCGATCCGTCACGCGGGCCCGCCCTCTCGAACACTGACCGGCGGTCCTGGCCGTAGGGAGCGGCCCACTCCGTTTCTGTCGAGACTTGGCGGTGATCTTCTTGGCGAGTTTCAGGAACTGGCTGTCCTCCCCAACGTCGTCCTCGTCAGCACTCTCCCTCCCCTGTGTTCACACAAAAACAAAGTAACCCCCGCCGCCCGCGTAGCCTTTACCAGACCCGCAGTTGCAAGAGGCTGTTGGCGAACGCCTCGTAAGGCCGCCACGGCACCAGCAACGTACCCGGCCACATTCGTCTCAAGGCACTGTACCGTGGGCATGTCAATCCACTGCTGGATGTGGGCCACCCCATCCCATGGGGATCATGCCAGTGTTTATCCACGCTGGTCAATTTGGGTTGACGAAGGCAGGGAGCATAGCTGTTGGATCATAGTACAATACAACAATGGAGTTTGCTGTACTGTCCTCTGACACACAGCTGCACGCAGACAACCAGCCATACACAATCGGAGCTTGACAGTCACACCAGAGACACAGACAGATGTGCACACCTTTTCGCGTATCCACTTCTCCCTCTCGAAGCGTTCTTTCCTGCGCTGAACCTCCTGGTCCTCCCCCTCGTGCTCCTCTAGCTCGTGCTCGCCCCCCTCCGCGTCGCCCTCGTCACGTGGGAACAGGTCCACCTGGGACGAGTCATCTACGCGACCACACCACGACGTCCACCACCATCACCACCACAGAGAGACCATCCACCGTTTGTCACCCTCCGAGCTGCAACCGCGTACCCAGCCTGGAGACCACTCGTTCACCCAGACCCCGGTAAACACCATCGCTCGCCGTGTGCAGGGGACGGGGGGGGGTCTGGAGATTTTGACGCCTGTCATCGTCTTAACCACCACCCTCGGAGGAAGCGAGGCTCACCCACAACAACAAGCTTTTGCACGGACGTTGTGTCACTCTTTTGTTGTATGAAGCCGACCGGGTGGCTCGGTGGTAGTCGAGCGAGCAGCAACTGAAAGTTCAAATCCCGGCGGGGGTGATTGACTCAGCCCATCATCCCTCCAAACGGTCGAAAAAATGAGCACCGCTCTATTTTAAACTGTTTCTATTTTTTTAGTACAAGGTAAGGCCCACTTGAGCTACATAGCTCTTTTTCAAAAGCCACCTGGCTAGCACAAATGATAGCTCAACAAAGTGGATTATCATTTGGACATTTATAGCAGCCAAATAATCAAAATAATCTCGATCCATGTTTTCTAAATGCGGAGGGAAAAACCGGGAGGACCCGGAGAAAGAATCCACACGAGCACGGGGAGAGAGACACCGCAAACTCCAAACATACAAAAGGCGTTGGGGGTCGGGATCGAACTCACGACCAGCCTACCCAGGTTTTTCCAGCGAAAGGTTCTCCGGCGGCCCGGCCCATCCGAGTGCAGGTCGCCGTCTGGCAGCAGAACCTCCTGGTAGAGACGCAGCTGGCGCTTGTCTTCGTCGAGCAGCACCTTCCTGTAGCAGCAGGACACCATGGCACTCATTACCCAACGCCGGTACGGCTACAGCAGTTGGCTCCCGTCAGCGTGGCAAGTGCTGTCGTCGTGTTTCATCACACGCGAACGAGCCACGTGGCGGCAGCTGTCTCGTCGTATAACGGTAACCGGCGCGTGGCCGCACGATACAGTGCCAAGATATAAATTAAAATATTGTTTTATTTTACCAGGTAAGGCCCACCTTGCGATGGAGCTCTTTTTCAGAAGCGACCTGGCTATCAAATGATGGTTCAACGAAGTGGCTTACATTGTGGAAATGTATAGCAGCCAAATGCTCAAAACACGTGATGTTGATTACAAATGTGGAGGGGAAAATCGGTGGACTCGGAGAAAAATCAACGCAACCACGGGAGGAGAGAGAGAGAGAGACACGCAAACTTCAAATATACAGCAGGCGTCAGGGCGAGGATCGAACCCACGACCTCCTGTATACCAGACAAGGTAGTTAACATCTCACCACCATGGCACCCCGATTATTATCTTGTCATTCGGATACTGTTTAACAGACACTCTGTAACTGCTAAATATCGGTTATTCGTTCTCATAGCACGAAGTGACGGAAAGATAACGCTAATTTATTGTTCCCCTACAAATCAGCTACTGTTACGCTCAGTCAATGTTATTAGTATATTTATATTTAGTGACTTGCTTAGCTTTCCTATAATTTGCACTATCTGTTGTTTTGTTTGTTACAAATTTCTGACCCACCCCCTACTGGACATCTGTGAAAAAGAGCTTCAAAGCTCATCGGATTCTCCCAGTCTTAATAAAGATTCCAATTCTGATTCCATTGTTACAACACAAACCGAGTAGTCGCTGCGATGCTGCAGGAAGACACCAGCTCACAGCTGTTACATTTCGCCGCGTGTGCGTCGGGCGTGTCCGGTCACTACACGAGCACGGAGGCACGAGTTCGGGGCGAGTACGGCACAACAGCGGCCTCGCGCGTACCCCACGACCACGGCCACGAGAACCCCGTGAACACGGCCGCGCGGTCGAGCGCGGGGAGCGGGCAACGCAAGGGCACGGCTCTCACATGTGGAGGCGCTTCACTTGGTCCTGAAGCTCGTCGTCGCTGGGCAGCTCTTCCTGGATGTCCTCCTCCTCGTACTCATTGTCCTCCTCGTTGCCGCTGAAGTCCTCGTCGCTCCCAGCCTCACTGCCCGACAACTCGGCCTCCTCCTCGACGAAGTGGCTCCTCCTGTGGAGGGCACAGGGGTGAGGGGATGCATGGGGCACGGACCGGTCCGTCAGTCTATTCACCAGAGACCCCCCACCTAATAGCAGCGTGCCAAAGACGTCATGAGCCGCTTTATCCTCAAGCACGTGCTAACATTTTGGAGAATTCCCTCATCCAAACATTGCACCATAGGGCCCATTGCATATTTGACCAACACCACCTAGCCAGTGAATTGGAACACGTACACCAGGCCCTAAAGATTAATGGAAATTCGGACCATATTATCCGCAAAGCTGTCTCTCCAACCATAGAGAAACAACCCCCTGAGACTCCGATCAAAACCATCACGTTACCATACATAGCAGGCGTTACCAAATAGATTTCCAAAATATTAAACAAACACAATATCCAGGTCCGAATCAGTACAGTACACAAGATCCGTGATCTAATCCCATCCGTAAAGGATGTCATTCCTGACATGCAATTCCCTGGAGTCTACAAACTCACTTGTATTTGTGGTGATTGTTACGTTGGGGAAACGAAACGACATGTATCGGACCGCATTCGCGAGCACAAGGCGGATTTGAAACATGCCAGAACTGGCTCTTCCGCAGTTGCTGATCACTGCTACAACGCTGTGGGCTCTCATGATATTTTTTTTTCCAAGACCAAGGTACTCTGCAAACCGTCAGGCTATTATCAAAAGTTTGTTCATGAAGCCATCCAGATATACAAACACAGACATAACTTCAACCGAGAGGATAGATTAAAACTGAGCAATCATTGGAAGGTTGTTATTAACCAGGTAAAATCTTAATGCTTTTATAGCTTGCTTCCATACCCGCATTCCCAATTTCTGCAGCACGCTACTCCCCCCCCCTCAGGCCCGCTCATTGCCCAGCTCAGGCATTGTGTCTCAACAGCCGTGTCTCAACAGGAGCTTCACTCTCCCCCCCCTCCTACTCCACACCCCCCCGTCCCCTGCATCTCTCCTCCCTGGCTCCTCCCCCCCTCTTACCTTATATAATCCCTTTTCACAAAACAGCTCTCTTTATTCACTAGTCATTTTTTGTTTCTGGCTGTGGTTGTCCCACCTGATGACGGAAGCTTGTGTTGATTATATCTATTTTTTTCACCTACGTGACTTTACCGAAAGAACCAAAGAGTATGGATCCTTGCAGTCATGAAAACTTCAAATCTGGAAAGGCCAGGACAGTTGACATTACCGCGATAAACTTTCCCCGATTTGGAGCGGACGCTACGTGCCCTACACTGCCCCCGGCAGACGGCAAACTCCACAGCTTGTGCTGTGAGCAGGCTTCGTGCATCACCTCCACAGCACCATCCAGTGCAGTGTGACACCCGCACTCACGCTCTCTTCCTGATTGGTCCATGGCCGTCTTTATACTTGGCAGCCACGCTCGTCACATAATCTCCCTCGTCTTCCCCCTCTTCCTTGACTTCTTCCTCTTCCTCCTCCTCGTCCTCCTCCTCGTCCTCCTCCTCGTCGCCAGACCCCGCATCACTGCCGTCTTGTTCGTCTTTGTTTTCCTGCCACAAAGCATGAATCACAGCACAGTGAGCCAGGTCAAAGCAACCGCTACAAGCGCCGGTTGTCGGGTCGTATGCGGCAAAGCGGAGCGCTCCATCCCAGCCATGCAGCACCTCCCATAACACCAAATGCACAGGCAAACCTCACCCTCTCCCACGAGCAGCAAGGTTCCTCTGCGAGCAGTCAAAAAAAACCCCAACACATTGTGTTAATAACAATGTGGCCTTGAAATAAATGTCAAAAAGATGACATTTCTGGCAATGGCCCTTCTTCGGAGCACGTAAAAAGGCACATTCCCATAGCAAGTATTTGCATTTGTAATAAAAGACTCGGACGCTTCTCTCTGACTCCGTGTCCTTTATTTGGGTTCTTCGTAATTACCCTCACGGCACTCTCTTAGAGATACTCTGCTTGCAGCCCCCGGCTGCTATCACTATTGTAGCCTCCTTCCTCTCCTTGCAGACTCGCTGCTAACTCCGTGTGCAGACTCCCGCTGCCAACTCCGTATGCAGACCCCCGCTGCCAACTCCGTAGTGCAGACTCCCGCTGCCAACTCCGTGTGCAGACCCCCGCTGCCACCTGCAGCCTCCTCGCTGCTCCGGGTCGGTCACCGTTGGCCGACGGTGCCGAACCTCGTTCCCCGCATACGTGGCGATCTCGCCACTCTCCCGCTCTCGCCCTACGTGGCCTACCTCGTTCTTAGTCTCCCGTCACTCCCCCTCCTCTTCCGGTTTCTCTCCCTATAGACCTGACCCCTCTCCCCCACGTGACCTAACTCCTCCCCTCATGACGTCACCTCCGGGAGGTCGTTCACGCCCGCATTACACATTTAAGGCCACTGTGTTACTGACGAACGTGTTGGGGTTTCTGACTTTGACGGGCAGAAGAAGTACGTTATCGGTGCGCATCGGGGAATGGATCATTAAAACGTGCCACAAAACCACTCCCGTGTCACCTGAATAGCCTCTCTGGTTAGTGTCCCCCCTGCGGTACAGAGGAGGGGTTCAGCTCAGGGGCACCTGATGGTTAAACCCCTGGGAGCTGGGCTCATGGAGCTGCTGCTCACGCAATAAAAGAAACCTGAGGTAGTCAAATATCGGCGATCCGGGGTACTGGGCGGGACTGGTTGTCCACGTAGATCAAAAACAGAGACAGAACAAAACATAAATTCGGGTATGAAACCCGTATTCATTGTTAAATATTGGTGAAAACGTGTAAGTTGTTTAGGCTTCATTGTTATCTAAACTCATCGGTTTGCTTGCCGACGTGTTTGCCCTCACGGGGTCACCGGGCCGCTGACCCCCAACGAGTGCGGAGCAGCTGATAATTATAATTAAACCAGCATTTGTAGACACAGCGCAAATGAGCACGGTTAATCTTCCCCACGGATAATTGAGAGCCAACTGTATATGATACTCTATTCGTGTAGTTCATGGTGACTGGGCCTAGACCACCAAATCCACTACACTTTAGCACTTGGTTAAATCACGGTTGATGAATAAACTTAAGAGTTGGAGACAGGATGTCGGCAGGGCCAGCCCAGTGCTCTTAACCTGGCGTTACGTAAACGCGCCAGGCAGCAGAGGGCACCGCCGCCGTCTCCACCTTGCGGGACACTCGCGAGTTGGGCCACTCACCTCCTCACTGAGGGCCTCGTCGTCTGTCAGAACATCAAAGACTCCTTTGTCTTCATCTTCGCTGCAGGATGCGAGGAGGGGGATCACAGGGCAGAATGAAGAAAATAGAAACGCTTTAGAATATGGACTAAACACCGCGGTGTTTCAGGAGACTTTTCATAATTCTACAAACCATGTTAGCGCGATTTTGATAAAATTATCGCGGTGAATGGAACATGCATGGCCTTCCACAGCGGGGTGCAGGGCCTGGTGCAATTCACACTGCGTAGCCCCCCCCAACACCTTCAAACTAAAACACGAAGTACCACGTCTGACACCGTGATGTTGACACGCAGGGTACGGGGCCCAGAGTGGTCGCCCGCCCCGATTTGCTATCCCCGAGGGACGGCTCAAGGGGACATGATTCTGGTATTGCCAGATAATGGCAAACATATCATGTGATCAAAGATGCACATTAGAAGAGTAGCGAGGTGCTACCAATATTTTTGTCCAGGGGGTTGTACAGACAGGACCATTTGAATAATTAAGTTGCTATATGGTGACAGCTTGTATCAGGGTTGTTAAACGACCACTAACCGCTCGCATTTTCAATTACTGGTTCCAAGAGTTAGAAACCGGCAACCATTTTCTATGGAAAGTTAGGAATGAATATACCGATTGGTATACGTACGAATGGCATGGCGCATGCGAATGTTTGGCCAACGGCCAGCCTAATTAAGTCTCCATGTGGCGAGTTCATTTCTCATGGGTACAGGGTAAAAGTGTAATGGTGCAGTGCTGCAATATCCCGCTCACGGCATTGGTGGCGAGTGAGCTCTGGAAGGTGTCTGCTCTATTCTTCCACGCTGATAAGATGTGTTTTTAAGAGGTTACGTAGTTTGCAAAAGAAGTTCAACATTCATATATATACATGTGCGCGTACCCCGGTTTTACATAGATGGTGGTATGTAAAATGTTTTAACTGCCACGTTGGGAGACTGAATCGGACCACTACCTGTGGATTGCAAGTCCAGGGAGATAACTATTATTTCACCATGGCAGATCACTTTCGAGTCTCAGCAGGAAGGTCAACATGTGCGTTTATTACTCTGGACATTTTTATATGCGTGGCAAACTAGAAACTGGGTGTTCACCAGGTTTTTTTGCATTCGGTTACCGGCATCGCAAATACATATTTTAACAATCGTAAACTCGATAGACCATGGGCAATGATAATTGGTTCTTTACCCTTCTATCTGGCAACAAAACTGACACCTTTTTTTACAAGGAGTCATGTTTGCATAGACCACAATACCTGCAGTCATAATGCAAACAAAAAACATAACTCTGATAATGTGCACTGTCCTTGAAGTTGATTGGTCCACACCCGAGACAGCTTTCCTTAGAGCCTAGTCTCACATGGTGTTGGACCAGATGACGCCAAAAGGCGCACAACTCAAAGACAATGCACCATCAGAGTATGAGAGCTCGGGGTGAAGCATTTACAGCCATTGGTTAATTAGCGCTGAACCTCACGCACGTCAGAGACCTGTAACATATGTTCGTACCCGTGGCACAATATCCTGTACACATATCCCTCTAGCTATGGCTGTGGCTGCTAGTCAATTCCACCTACTCCGGTCTACCAGTGATCCCGAAAATATTCAGTGAGACCTTAAGCCCTGGTTACAACATTGCCTGTAGCAAGACGTGCTGGGTGCGTTCACGGGTGCTGTGAGATACTGACCCAAAGTGGTCCGGCCGGGCCTGGGTCGAGCGATCGCCTACGCGCTGAGCCATTGCACGGTTTCCCATCCTGTCTTGCGACTCTGCTCCCGCGATTGGGTCTTGAGATTCAAAATTCCCAGAGCATAGCCCGAGGAGCTCGTCCATATCGGAGTTAATTCTGGCTTTTGGCGTTGGGACCTGGGACTCAAACTTGCCAGAGCAGAGCCCCACGAGCTCATCCATGTCCGATGTATTTCTTGGCGTTGGATCCTGAGACTCAAACTTGCCAGAGCACAGCCCTACGAGATCATCCTTGTCCGAGTTCTTTCTTGGCCTTGGGTCCTGAGACTCAAACTTGCCAGAGCAGAGCCCTACTAGCTCATCCATATCAGAGTTCTTTCTTGGCCTTGGGTCCTGAGACTCAAACTTGCCAGAGCAGAGTCCAACAAGTTCATCCATGTCCGAGTTCTTTCTTTGTCTTGCCGTTGAGTGCTGAGACTCAAACTTGCCAGAGCACAGACCAACCAGCTCATCCATTTCAGAGCTGTTTCTCTTCCTTGGAGTTGGATTTTTAGGCTCAAACTTGCCCGAGCACATGCCAACGAGCTCGTCCATGTCCGAGTGCATCGCGTTCTCCTCCAGGCTCAACAGGTTGAGCTTCCGTTTGGACGACACAATCTTGTGCGCTTTGCTGCGCCCGACGTTAAGGTACCTGGCACATGGGAACAGCACGGACGCTGTTAACACAGCGCAGCCGAAAGTAACGCTGCACGTTAACGCGACTACACGTGTTACTGGTGCTGTGTTTCTGTGCTGTTGCACGTTGTTTTGTGTTTGTTCTGGCGTGCGTATGTGTTTAACTCAAGCTCCGAGTTCCGTGTTGCGTGCGCGTCTCTCTTGTGGATGGTGCAGCGAGGCCGTCATAGGTGCTCGTTATCTCGACTTGCCCCAACAGTATGTATGGCCATACGCGACGTGCAGTGCGCGTGTATCTCGTCGTGCAATTTGTGACGCAACAAGCGGCGGCAACGCGTACTCCTCAAATGTGCGCTTCGACGCGGAGTACGCGTTGCCACCGACGGCAGAGTACGCGTTGTCACCGACCCGTCGGCATCCAGCAGCTGGCTCTGGCTCTCCTCTCCCAGCGAGAAGCGGAACTCGGAGTCCGTCGGGAGGGACGTGGGGCTGCCCGGGCGCTCGGGGGAAGGCTGGTACAGGTCCTCCGAGTCCTCCATGCGCAGGGATGTCTCGGACAGCTTGCCGGTGCTCTGCTGGGGCGGCACGGCGCGAGTGCGCGACGGGGAACGCAGCCCTGCGTGAGAGGCTCGCTGAAAACAGAATGGAACTTAAATTCTACAGTGACCCAGCCCCAAGTTCAAGAGAGCGATGGTAATCTAATATAACTTATATCCACTTTGGCACAGAAGACGTGTCTCTCTAATTATTTTATTCCATGCATCTCCTTGTCATATCTCTCTCTGTGCCTGTCACTTCAAACATCTCCTGCTCCACATGGCCTGATGCTTATTATCGACAGACACATCACGATGCGTGCAGTGATAGGCATAAGATGTATGGAGAAAGAGGCAGGAGATGTGTAAACTGAGCGGGAGATGCACTGTGGAGACAGGTAGAGTCAAACACGGCACGGAGATGCACAAAGATGTGGAGACACAGCACAGCAGATGTGTGGGGTGGGAGAGAGCAGGGACGCAGCACAAGAGACGCGTGGGCGTACACAGAATCGGCGAGATCGGAGGCAACGCGACGGTGACACCACGGCGGAGCAAGTGGAGGCATAGTGGCACTCACGAGGGCGGAGTAGCCGGAGAAATGTGCCGGGGCGAACTGGCTCATGGGCGAGAATGGCGAGGGCGTGCGCTGCACTGGCGCGCTCGGCGTGCGGCTGCGGCGCAGCGGGGGCTGGTACGGCGGGATGGAGGATGCCAGCAGTTCGAAGCTGCTGTTGTGGCTCTCGTCCTTGTGCAGAGACGGACGGGAGCTCGAGCCCTCGTCTGCACCTGCATGCCACAAGCAGAGGCATACTTACACCCTTGTATGTAGGTATATGTATGTTGAACTTCTTTCGCACGGTACGTAGCCAACCATGCTAATTGGAGGTGCGGGGGTAGGACAGCAAACTAAAGAGAGTTCTGAAGAAATGAGTTTTGTAGGAAAGGAAAGGACCTGACTAGTCACAAGTTGGGACAGACGAACTTCTCCATCTTGTACCCAAACTAAACTGAGCTACACAGCTCTTTTTCAGAAGCGACCAGGCTATCACAAATGATAGCGCAACAAAGTACCGATAATGGAACGGCACATTGATAATTACAAGTTCATGGGCTGCACGGAAATCTAGCAGCTTCCTACTGCGTATTATTGAGATGATCTAATGTCATGATTCACTTGGAAATGAAAGTCGATTAATCAAGTCATTATCCCCGAGAGGGCCAATTTAGCGTAAGGCAGGCAACTGTGACCACCATTCCTCACCTCTGGTGATGGGAAGGTGGGCCCACAGCAGTCTGAGACTCATGGCATCTTATGCCCCACTGCCATGCTCCCAAAGCACCTTCATTTGTTTTCTTGAGAGAAGAGCCACTCTCTGCAGTTTAATGCTGCGCCCATAGCGCAGTGCACAGGTGCACGCAAAGAACAAATGTACGTGCACACGCAGATGTACGCACGTACACTGCAGGTCATGCCTTATCCCTCGCACTGCTCCACTTTGGAATTCACCTCCAACATCTCCTTCCTCAAGCTCTTATAACCATGCTAAATTCAGTAAGGGTGTTAACTCTATCTATTGCAACTCTAAGAGTACTGTTTGTTGCTGACCGCTGAATGTTTTGGACCTTTGTGCTTATTTTCAGCAACCATGACAAAAATACAACCCAAACCGCACATACAGATGCACAAAGACAACAAAGATCTTCCATACAGCCTGAACAGACTGTTAGGGTATGTGCTGTTAGCGAGCACACAGATGCACGCACATACACAGAGCACAACACGAGTCCGTGGCCGCACAAAGGAGTCGCTGTGTTCACAGATTCACACGCCGCGTTCAATGGGAGACTCACAGAGCTCGTCGTCCGAGTTGTGCTTGAGCTGCACGGGCGTGCACGCCCTCCCCGCGGACCGCCTGAGGACGCGGGTGTGGGGGGCAGAGTGCAGAAGAGGGGAGTGCCAGGGAGAAGCGAGCACGTTACCCAAAAGTTAAGGGATGTGCCAACATCAAGAAGAGTGCCTGGGCTTGGGCCAGGATTCATCAGTAGAGGCGATGGTGGCCCAGCCTGGTGATGGAACCGCAGGCATAATAATCAAAGTACTGTAAGTAATATCCCCCGTATAGTCTTAACAGATTTTTGAGGTAAGTGCTGTTAGCGAGCACCTTTGAAGGCCACCATGGCACACGAGGTTGGTGGGTGGCAAGCACCACGCCCGACCGCCTTTGTCTGCCCAGTAGCAATATTGACACATCATACCAGGTATTAATTTGAGGCTGAGTCGATCTAGGGGAGGCACAGCACTCGTTCAGAAAATCGTCGCTGGTGTTGGGTTTGAGTGGGAATCAAACCACTACACAACCGCTCTAACGCACACACATACGTATATGAAATATATTCACATCCTGTAGAGTACATCTGTATTTGTAAATGCAATATATGTACACGTGTATTATTTTTTAACGTAGACAAGCAACCCGCTAATTCGCCCCTCCAGCCAGCCAGCAAACACATTCCTGCGGAGGGAGCTGGTAGGAACGTTGGATTGCTCGGTCAATGGCCAGGGTCAACGACGGCGTGGTGTATTCCGCAAATATGCCCGACTGTGAGGGCGAGCACAAGCCGGCGTGAGTAGGTTAAACGTTGAGTTTTATAAGGGCACCACGGGGTGACCAGCCCCTCCCCACCCAGCCCCACCCCTCCCACCCCCCACCCAGCCCCTCCCCGTCGTGCCATAAGAGAGAAGGTGTAAGCGAACTGTCGTCAGAGTTCAACCCGGGAAGATTGTTGTGTGCAAGTTCTCTGTGTGGAGACCATGTGATGAAACTGCGGTCTCGTCTCATTCCACGCGGGCTCGCAACGTCGGCAGTGCAGAAGGCGACACTCACTCTGGCCGCGTGTCCGTCGAGTGGTCGAAGAGCACCATGGTGGCCTCCGACATGCCCAGATGAGCAGCTGGTGAGACGCAAACACAGCCACCACATGGGAATTGGCACAATTAACCAACCGCCAGCAGCAACACCACCATAACGCACCTCCTATTAGCACGGTTGGCTATGTACGGTGCGAAAGAAGTTCAACATTCTGTTCTATAACGCTGCGTGTCATTTTCATAACGCGAATTAGATATAACATGATGAATGCATTAGGAAACACAATTTTATAATGCGGATACGAATTGGATATAATGCGATTGAGTGAACGGAACGTCACACGAGTAGGAATAAGCAGTTGTGTGGCTAGCTGCCTCAGCGTAGCATCGCGCAAGGCGGGATGCTGCTGGATGCTTCTAGATGCTACACACGCCTCAGTCTTTGATCAACCTGCGTACGCATCTCACGTATTATCGCGCACTGTGCTTTAACCTATATCATATTATTTATTATAGCAGGGTTTTTCCACAATAAAGCGTCCTTCAGGAACGCAACAACCACCGCGTTACAGGAGAATAGACTATACATGCACAATAAGGAAACGACAGCGAGCAGCGGCTGCGACGACGTACCTTTACACTTCTCATCTTTCGCAGGGGAAGTCTCGTCCTCCTCCTCGTCATCATCCTCCTCAAAGCAGCGGGGGAACAAACGAGGGATTAAGCATCTGTGCACTTATCTTGATAGCATGAGTTGGTGAAATGTCTGTCTGTGAGCAAGATTGTATGCGTACAATGCGGCATCAGTGGATGAAAAATTATCAGAGGAAGGCGAACAGCCAGCGAATGAAAATATTGATGCAAATGCATCAAGTCATTCAACAAACTTTAAATATGACAAGTTCCTTGTACTCCAAGCAATCACAATTCTGAAATGTCCTCTTTGATCACTTGGTTTCCATTTGGGCTGAGGTCTCCTGTCCCGTAACGGGTCTCACGTGATATAAATTACTTGCAATTCAAATATGCAAATTAATTAAAATCTTAAATTTCTACTCAGCATCTGAATTACACATCTCAAAGTGATCAGTAATATGTATCTAAATGAGACACGGCTAATAATTGGCAATTTGAATGCAGATCACATTACTCCAGGAATTTTAATGTATTTTGCCCATCTCCGAGTCTTTACAAATCACAGACTGGTACGTGACCTCTGGCCCCACTGACCAACATCTCCGGTGGTCCCCATGTCCGCTACCTCGTCTGGGCCCTCATCGTCACGACCTCCGCTGTCCGCGTCCGATTCCTCGTCCGTCAGCTCCTCGTCGCCGTCCTCCTCCTCCTCCTGGAAGCCCTCCTCGTTGTCCAGCTCGTACGCCTCCAAGCGCTTCTGCCGCTCCTCCAAGCGGCGCAGCCTCATCGCCTCCTGCAGGCGAGCCTTAAGCGACAGCAGCTTGGCGCCTGCGCGGCCCGGACGGCGAGAGGCGAGGGTACGCTCAGCCACGGCAGAGTGGGTGCGTAGTGGCACAAGGCAAGAGGTCACCCCCGTGTTGTCTTCTAAGCCAAATTATATGCGTGGGGTCGGCTGCTCAGATTTTATTTCTCCATGGACTTACGCTGTGCTTTCTTCTCCAGTCACATCCACTACCCGTACATGGAGACCCATAGACACACATACACTTACATGATCCGTAGACTTAAATAGAGTGCCATAAACTTACATAGACAGTCACAGACTCGCATACATTTACAGGATCCATACTCACACTTACATGAGCCATAGCTAGAGACCCATTCTTACACACACTTATGTTCTGTACACCTATATACAGACACATACATTTACAGAGATATTTACACTTGCAGAGATTTACGTAGAAATCCACAGACTTACAACTTCTTCTAAGCAAAAATGTTATCGCATAGGGTCAGGTGCTCGAATTTTCTCTCTACATGAGCTTCTTCTGTGCCAAGTGTCACATCAGTCATCTTACATCTAATTTCCACCGCTTTCTCCCATCTCACCCTCGGTCTCCCTCTACTCCTTCTGTTTCGCACCGGTGGCATCTACACACAGCAATTTAAAATGGCCACGAGGCCTACCATTCCAAAGAGACGGGCCTCACATTGCCTATGGCCATACAAAAGGGCTGTATAAAGCCCGTGGGTTTAGATTCCTTACTTGATGTAGGGCACCACTTCCCACTTGCCCCCACCAACACGCACGAGCACACATAGAATCCCGTAGCCGCAAGGGGAGCGGTGCTATCTCGCGAGCGGGACGCTCCCCGTGGCGGGCCACGCGAGGAGCTCACCCGGCTTCTCGAGGGCATCCCCGACAGTGACGGTGAGGACCTCCTGCAGGAGCTGCTGCTTGCCGTCAGCTCCCGTCTCCTTGCGCGTGACGCGGATCTCCACGGGGCCGCGCGGTCTCATGGGGGACTTCCTCGTCGCGTGCTTCAGGAAGCGCTCCTTCAGATCATTCAAGCCTGCAAACACGCACAGACAAAGACACACAGACACATTCAATCAAAGACACTAACAATTATATATGCGCATGAAATTGCTCCAACATGGCACACCAGAGGCCAATGCCATGCCCGGTTGCCTGTGTCTGTCCAGTGCTGATGTTTACACAGAATCAGAATCTTTATTTAGACTGGCGAAATCCGATGAGCTGCAAAGCAATTTTTCACAGATGTCTAGTCGGGGGGGGGGGTCAGAAAGTTACCGTAACAATACAAAAACACAATAGGAGTGCAAAATCTAGAAAAGCTAATCAAATCACAAGAAATATATTTTACCAAGTAAGGCCCACTGAGCTATTAGATTTTTTCTCAGAAGCGACTTCGCCACAAATGATAGCTCAACGAAGTGGCTTATCACGTGGACATTTATAGCAGCCAAATAATGTAAAAAGTCTAAAACGCATGTTTATAAATATGGAGGGAAAAACTGGAGGATTCAGATAAAAAATCCACGTGACCACGAAGGATTGGGATCAAACCCCCGACCTCCTGCATACCAGGTTGATGAAGATAACATCACGCTTTACTGTACCAGGTACTCATTTAAGGTTTAGTAAATCTAGGGGAGGCCCAGAACCGGTTCAGATATTCACCACTTCTATTTGTCCTGAGCAGAAATCAAACTCGGTTGGCGGGTCGGAGTGCAGTGCGCTAACCACTACACCACCGCTACCCAACAAACTACAGGAATACCTTGCACTGGTTAGGGACCAGAGCACGGACGAATTCAAAGACTGAATGAAAAAGATGCCGTGTGGCGCGAACGTCGTGGAAGATTGGATGTAATCGGACGAAAGAGAAAAGCACGTGGACGGACATAAAAAATGTGGTTATAATTGAAAACGGCCGAAAGAGCGAAGCGACGAAAGTCAAGTGGACGAAACTCAAGGTATCGCTGTACCACAAACACGACCACATACACACTCCACCAAGCCCTGCACATGCCGTGGGGAGATCACACCACTCGCTGCTCTACGTCACGTCCCGTAAATACGCGACACGTTGAACTGGGCTCTCCTATAACTCAAGTAATCGATCACTCCATTATCGGTTCAATTGCCCGACTCAATGGATAACACAAAAATAGTTGGGCGTTGGCACTCACCCTGGTTGGGCGTGGGCTCCTCCAGGTCGATGAAGGTGCCTGCGGCGGCGCGGAGAAGCGTGGGCCGCACGGACAGATCGACACCCAGGCCCTGCAGCCGCAGCAGCCTAGCGCGCACGCGGCTCTGAGCACCGAGCACGGCGCAAGCAGCAGCAGCAGGAGAAACGCACGGAGAGAATCGGCACGCAGAGACGTGAGACACAACACATCACGGGACACGTTACACACACATAGCAACATATCTACTGCAAATTTCGATTTAAAGCTTTCGTGACTGCAGGGATTCATCTTCTTGGTTCTTTCGTGACTTTACCGAAAGAACCAAGAAGATGATATCTACTGCAAGTTACACTTGAGCACAACAAAGTGAAGAAAGTGATTTCTGGCTCAAATGAGCATTGAGGCAGTGCTCATCTCCCGTTTACAGCCTTAATCCAGTGGTTTAAATTCCACATTCCTATGGCAGGGACGTGTCTATCCACATGACAGTGACTGTTGAATCCCCCTCAAAGTGATACTCTTTTAATTGACCCTGGACGGACGATGAATTGAGTTAACCTGCCAATAGCAACCGTCCAAACTTGCAACCTTCCGATTGCAAGTCGCCCAATCGTATTGCCGAGCCACCTGGCTGGATAACACATCCAGAACGCTGAGAAAAGTGACAAAATGAGCACGGGGATTTACCTCGGGTCTTGCTATTAAAACTGCACAGGTGGGGGCCCTGACCTTACTGAATTGTGGTTGGGAGATTCTTACAGGGCCCTCCCAAAGCTTAAGCAGAGGGTGGCATCAGATGATGGTTGTTGGTTGGCGATGGTGGTTGGGTGGGGTTTCTGGGATAGTGATAATTTTTGTCTGGTTGCAACGCCAATCTTTTTCTTAAAACTTTGCAAATGCCAGCTGACATTTTTGGATAATTTCAGGGAGACCCCATTTTTCAATTTTACAAGCCATCAAAAACGAGTCTAACTATTGCCACAGCTCGACTCATCCCATCGGCAATTAAATTAACGGGCAGGTTTAAAGGGACCGACCTGTGGGCTCCTTGGTGCGTTGGCGAGCTCTGGCGCTGCCGAAACCTTCGGGGCATCCATGGCGGTCGCCTCGTGAAACACCGTCTGCCGATCGTCGCAGGGCTGCGCCGGTTCAGGAGGAGGCCGATCTTTCCCGTCCGGTGCCTCCGTTCTTCCTTCAGGACTCGTCGTTCCACTTGCTTTCTCCGCTCCATCGAGAAGCCCCCGCTCCTCATCAGGATGTTCCTCTGACCCTGGGGCTGGCGGTGCTGTGCTCTCCCTCCCGTCATCGTCTCCATCGCCGCTCCTTCCGGCGGTCCTCTCGGATTCGCGGGTCATCTCCGCCCCGTCGCCCTCGCTCAGGAGTCTTTGGCAGGTAACAGCAGCGTCGGCCGCTCCTGCCTCTCCGACTACTCCTCCCTGCGCTGCAGCGGAACTCCCAGCTTGCGGGTCACATGCATCCTCAGGCGCAAGGGCACTCTGCTGGGTAGTGGACGATTGGGGGACGCCCTGGCCGCTCAGCAAATCCGCCTGGTACTTGGTGGACCTGTAGATATCATGCACACTCAATGTTAATGTTAACACCTCCTCCACTCGTTAAGAGGCTGGGGCTGCGCCCAGAGCCAAGAGGTGCCGGATAATTTGTGGGTAATATTGCAGCATTGGGGTGTTTGGCCAACACCAGTACACATTGTGTGTATTTAACTATGAGAGGTAACCAGAGCACCTGGAGGTAACCGACGCAGAAGAGGGGGAGAACACACAAGCTCGACACAGAAAGGCGCCCAAGTCGGGAATCGAACCCAGGCACGTCTTGCTGTAAAGCACGAGCGTTACCACTGTGCCACCACCCTGCCGGTGGTGATCCGAGACGTTTGATGTTTTGGTGCATCATAAATGTGAGTATCTGTTGTCGTTGTGATCGTACTTGAGCAGGCTCATGGCGTCTCCTGCGGGAAGCTGGCGGCGCTTGAAGAAGTCGTGGACGGATCTCGGCTCGGGGAGGTGGTAGGGCAGCGACATGTTCGACTCTGCAGACCGCACCGCCACGCACCGCACACAATGAGTCCACACACTTGGAATTCACACCATGCTTATGACACAAGGGCTGTTACGAAGGCACTTTGGTAATGTCGGCGTTAGATTTACACATTTCTAACTTACGTTCTCACAGAATCCTATAGACTTACATCGAGACCCACAGACTCGCAGAGACCCATATTCGCAGAGACCCATAGTAAGTACATTTCGTATTTGCGCAAGTATTATCGCACGACTTTAATGATGAAGACACTGTTTATGCCTTGTAAGCTTTACAGAAAATGTCCGACTTGGCTGTCCTACACCTCCAATTAGCACAGTTGGCTACGTACAGTGCAAAAGACATTCAGCATACATACACACATGATGATTAGTGTAAATGTAATAGTATGCAAGGTGCTATGGGGGAATTCAATAACACCCAACATGTCCTGCCAATGACCAATTTCATCACAGATCAAAAGCTAAGCATATTTGAGCCTGGATAGTGCTTGAATGGGCGACCACCACCCCAAGCAGAACATGGCTTGTTAGCCTGTGGGGCGACGTGGTGGGCAGCAGAGGGTCGTGCAGAAAATATTTAGGACTGTACTATGATCCCACATCTATGCTTCACCAAACCTCACTGACCAACATAGGGGAAGTACGGGCAAATTACCTCAATGACCTGCACAGCATAGGGAGGCCTTCATCCAGCAGGGCATTGACAAAAAGACCTGTACATGTGCATGTTATGGTTAGGGTTGGATCTTGTTCGCTAGGGCTAGGGTTAGAATTGGATCTGGTTGACTAGAGGTATGGTTAGAGTTGAATCTGGTCGGCTAGGGTAATGGATAGGGTTGGCTCTGGTTGGCTAGGGTTAGGGTGATTGTTAGTGTTGGATATGGTTGAATACAGTTGTGGTTAGGGTTGTATCTGGTTAGCTCGAGTTATGGTTAGGGATGGATCTTGTTGGCTAGGGTTATGAGAGGTTCTCGTTGGCCAGTGTGCTATGCTGCCTAACACTAAATCCCTGCCCCTCTTGCCACGTGCGGCCTTTCCGCTAGTGTCGTTTTCCCACACCCGCTCACCGCGGATGATGCGCTGGCTCTCGCTGTGCAGCTGCTGTATCGCTGCTCGCCCCGCCTTCGCCGCCTTCCGCTCCACACGGCCCTTGTTCTGCAGAAGCATCGTCACAACGACGACGACAAGAACTTTCACACATTTTCATTTGGGCTCTGCCGCTGGTGCATGATGAGCACGTTTGGCTACGTACGGTGCGAAAGAAGTTCAAAATACATACATACATAGCCTGCACTTGAGGGTGATGACTACCACTACGTTACGTGGTCTTTTACCTTCACTCTATAGTAGAGCAGCACGAAATCAACAATCCTTGCTCAGCCAGGTGCTCCTATAAGTGGCCGAGCCCTGGAGCGTCCTGGCTGCGCGTACCGAGCTCCCCATAAAATTGCAGCCCCTGTGCCTCCCCAACTTTGCTCCACCAAACCACTTCACCTACAGTGGTGAATTGATGGTCCCAGCACGGTCAACATTGACCACCACACAAAAAGCTACGTTAAAATTTGGTTTTGCACGCGCTTAATTTGGCCAATATCCTGCACTGAGAAATAAAATATCGGTTTGACTGTCGTGCGACAAACATCACTCTCATTAGCAGAGTGAATGGGAAGTGTTGCCCTCTGCTGTATATGTACCAGAGGTCACTTGATGACATCTGAGGTAGCTCTGTGATATCCGCTTCCGTGTGCTGTTCTCCAAGATGAAGGGTTGTGTTGCTCTGCGAGATCCGAACGGATTCTTCATCTCGTGACGTGATGCCGAGAGCACAATCAAGATAGAATTGTGGGAAAAAACTAAATCAAACTGAAAGAAACCCCTTCACCTGTTTGCTCTTCTTGAGGAAGGATTCTTCTTCATCATCATCGTCCTGATGAGCCCCAGAGACCGCCCGGCTCTGATGCACACACAGACATGTACAAAGTTGAAGAATGCCCCGCGTAGCCCACACAGACTGTTGGGGCAAGTACCGTGAGCGAGCAGCTGCTCTGGCCACCAGGGTGGTATCAAGGTGGCCGGATGTGATTCCGGCTACATCACATACAAGACAAAGATCCCTCGTATAGCCTCAACCGACTTTTGGGTCAAGTGCTGTTAGCGACCACCTATGAAGGCCAACACGGCACAAGAGGGGGTGGGTGGCCAGCACCACAACCAGCCAGCTTTTTCTCTCCAGTGCCCATGCTCATACACCACACCACGTACTCATTTATGACTGAGTACCTGGTGTGGTGTATGAGGCATATGCCTCTGGAAAGCATCCATTTGAAAGAAGGTTTAAATGTTATAACTTTTTCAGTGATAAGTAATTATTTTGTTTTAAACAACTGAGGTGGAACCAACAACAGGAGTGGAACTCACCCAGCCTCCGAGACCTGCAATCGAGAGGAGACTACCAGGGCACAGACCGTATGTGAAGTGGCCTGGCGCCAGTGACAAGAAGTTGTGGGAAACAGTGAATACTGACCTTACCTTGACCCTCGAGAAACTTCGAGGCACAGTGGAGAAGAAGTTGGAGAGGATGGGGGACATCATCTATGAGTACGGGGCAGAAAGCTTTGGAGTGCAAGAGGCAAAAGGCGGGAGAAAGGTTCCAACCCCACCAGTTTCCAGGAGGCAACAAGAAATCAAGCGCCTCGTTCAAGAAAGGAGACAGCTTAAGAAACAGTGGAAGAAAGCCTCGGAAGTGGAAAAGGAGGGCATAGAGGCACTTCAGGCTGACATCAAAACCCGGTTGGCATCCCTCCGTAGAGCAGAGAACCTACGGAAGCGCAGAAGGAAGAAAGAACAAACTAGAACTCGATTCTATAAAGATCCCTTCAAGTTCCTTAAAAGTCTCTTCACGAAGGAAAAAAGTGGAGTTCTAAAAACAACAAAGAAAGACCTAGAAGAGCACCTGAGAACAACAAACTTTGACTCAAAGCGACATGAACATCTGGCCATCCCATCAGATATCCCACCCATTGAACCCCCGGAACATCATATTGAGACCAGCCCTCCGACATGGAAAGAGGTGGAAAACACAGTTCGAAGGGCAAGAACAGCATCAGCCCCGGGGCCAAATGGAGTCCCGTACAAAGTGTATAAGAACGCACCAGACGTCCTGAGGTTCCTCTGGAGGCTTATGAGAACAGCTTGGCAAAAGAAGATAATACCCAAAGTGTGGCATAGGGCAGGCGGGGTCCTGATCCCTAAGGAGAAAGATGCAGTGAACATCAGCCAATTCCGCCCAATCTCCTTACTGAATGTCGAGGGTAAAATCTTCTTTAGGATCATTGCCCAGAGGATGGCCGAGTACCTGCAAAGGAATGCGTACGTCGATACATCTGTACAGAAGGCAGGAATATCAGGGTTCTCTGGCTGCTTGGAACATTCCAGCATGATCTGGCACCAGATCCAAAAGGCCAAGGTGGAGAAAAGGGACCTCCATGTAGTCTTCCTCGACCTCGCCAATGCATTTGGCTCTGTGCCCCATGAACTCCTGTGGTCTGCCTTCAGATTTTTCCACATACCGGACACCATCACAACCCTGGTGAAGTCGTACTTTCAGGATCTGCAGTTCTGCTTCACCACCTCAGAGTTCACCACCTCATGGCAATGCCTGAATGTAGGTATAATGGCGGGATGTACCATTTCTCCATTGGCATTCATAATGGCAATGGAGGTTATCATCAGATCCTCAAAATGGGTTGCTGGTGGACAGCGAGTCGACTCTGGTTTTCGCCTCCCTCCACTCAGAGCCTACATGGACGACATTACAACATTGACCACCACTGTCCCATGCACCAGGAGACTGCTCAGAAAACTCGAGGAGAACATCAGCTGGGCCCGTATGAAGATTAAACCATCCAAGTCACGCAGCATCTCGATTGTGAAGGGAGTACTCTGTGACCTGAAATTCTTCATCGGAGATGACCAAATCCCAACAGTGTCTGAGCAGCCGGTAAAAAGCCTTGGAAGGTGGTATGATGCAAGCCTGAAGGACAAAGACCAGGTGCAACAGCTGCGCAAAGACATCAGTAGTAGCCTACAGTCCATCGACAACACCCAGCTACCTGGAAAGTTAAAGGCCTGGTGTCTGCAGTTTGGTCTCCTACCCCGGGTGTTGTGGCCCCTAGCAGTGTATGAGGTTCCAATCTCAACAGTGGAGAAGATGGAAAGAGGAGCCACGAGCTACTTAAAGAAGTGGCTCGGAGTTCCACGATGCCTTACCACCATAGGCCTCTATGGAGATGGTGTCCTCAAGCTGCCCCTCACCAGTCTAACCGAGGAATTCAAGTGTGCAAAAACCAGGCTCCAGATGACACTGAATGAATCTCGAGACCCAGTGGTGAGCAACAACGCGCCGACCTTAGCAACTGGGCGCAAATGGAGGCCAGGAAAAGCAGTCCAGGAGGCAACAGCAGCCCTCAGACATGCTGACATTGTGGGTCATGTTCAGCAAGGGAGAGGAGGCCTTGGGCTAACTAGCCGTGCTGCTTGGAGTAAGGCCACTGCACCAGAGCGGCGGAAGATGGTAGTGCAGGAAGTACGCCATCAGGAGGAGGCTGCAAGGTGGGCCAAGGCAGTCTCTCTTGCCAAACAAGGACAGTGGACTCGATGGGACAGTGTGGAGAAGAGGAAGATCAGCTGGAAGGATCTGTGGGCCATGGAAGCGAGGCGGTTGAGCTTTTCCATCAGAGCAACATATGACATCCTTCCAACACCAGTTAATCTTCACCAATGGTATGGTGAAGATCCGGACTGTGCCCTCTGTTCCATGCCAGCCAACCTCAGGCACATTCTCACAGGGTGTAAAACAAGCCTCACCCAAGGACGCTACACTTGGCGTCACAACCAAGTCCTTAAAAACCTTGCGTCCGCCCTGGAGGACAAGCGAGCTGCCACCAACTCCCTACCACCCCCAGCAGCATCACACCCCTTACGGACGACCTTTGTCCGCGAAGGGGCTAAACCACCGAAGAGCGGCTCTACACCAATAGAGCGAGACCAGCTGCGCTTGGCCCGCGACTGGAAAATGCTAGCTGACATTGGCCGGCAACTTGTGTTTCCTCCGGAGATCGCAACCACCACCCTAAGACCTGACATGGTGCTCTGGTCCCGTTCGCTCAAGAAGGTCTTCATCATTGAGCTCACAGTACCCTGGGAGGACTCAGTAGATGAGGCTCATGAGCGAAAACATCTGCGCTATGCCGATCTAGCTGCCGAAGCACGGCATCATGGCTGGAACACAGAAGTCCGACCAGTGGAGGTGGGCTGCAGAGGTTTTGTGGCAACATCTACAACCAGACTGCTTAGAGACCTGGGAATTAAGGGCCAGAGCCAGCGTTCGGCAATCAAAGCTGTATCGGAGGCGGCAGAAGGCAGCAGTCAGTGGCTCTGGATGAAGAGGAAAGACCCCAGCTGGGCCCCAAAGTGAGAGGGCCAGGAGGTATGCAGTCAACAATGCTTGACTCAGGGAGGAGGACGCCCCTGCCATGCATAGTCCCATGGGATGTTGGCTACCAACAACACGGCAACTCCTATGACTAATTGGGAATGGGACGCAAGCGTAGGATTGATCACCCTGTCGCTGGCCGCCTTTGGGGAGGGTGTATAGTATGAAAGGCCGAAACACCCTAGGAACCAAAGGGTCACTACTGACGATGCGCTCCCCAAATTTCACCAGGCTCACTGTTCATGAACTCTTGGAAGTGCTTGCACAAAGGATAGTAACATCTCATCCTGTGTTCTTTGGAATCTGAATACAATAATTTGCTGAATGAATATTATGGCATCCATGGGGAATGGAGAGTGCCGGCTAATCAAATATTCCGGTTATCTGAGAGTTATACTTATGGTTCACGTCAAACATTTCAAGAAATAAACTAAGCCTATATTTTAACTATGATAAAACAAATAATATACTCCTTCACAGAGGTGCTCAACAGTCAGTTGTGGAGCATCTAAAGTTGATTTGAGACAAGCAGTGGGGCAGTTCAGAGTACAGTAGACAGTCACGATACAGTACAAGTGTAAAGACAGTACGGAGCATAGAGGGACAGTAGGGTTCCCCGGGACCATGGTTACTAATGGACGTGCTAATGATGATTGATAGGACAAGCATTGACAGGGTCACGTGAGGGGCAGCACGGGATCCAAAAGTGTAATAAGGGCGGAGATTGACAGAGCCAGGTGTGGTGAGCGAAAGTTCTGGAATAGGGGCGTGGGCTGGGTCGTGCGAGGGATAAGAGCCGGCGCGAACCGGACCTGGGGGCTGTTGGTGTGGGGAATCTCCGTCGTCGTTGTCGCCTTGGAACGGGTCGTCTCCATCGTCTTCGAGTTGTCTTGAGACTAGAGCTATGTTGTCTCAGAATAGAGTCGTCTAACTACCCAAGCGTATATAGTCACTCGTGGTGACTCGTTGAGGACATAAAGACAAGATGGTGTCTCTGAGAGCTACATTACACAAGTGCAACGTGATCACAATGACAGATGTTTACAATGTAGACTTTCGATAGCAACACCACTCAGCAGCGTCCTCAAACAGGTCTATGAGAAGCGCACAGCAAGATGCTGGATGGCTCACGGAATTTTTCTGGATACGGGAAGGAAGATTTGTATCGCAATCTATGAAAGATGCTGGTTAATAGAGCATACCGGACGGTAAAGTGCTGGATAACAGAGGTTCTACTGTAATTCACTTTTGCGCCTGGCCCACGAATCCCGAATTTGTCCTCTGCACCTATCCCGTCATCGGTAGGTCTCACGTTGGCACCGACACCCACCTTTTGAGCCTTCTTCTTCATGGAGCTCTTGATGGCCTCCAATGACTCCTCCTCCTCCTCATCGCTCCCCAACTCCCCCAGGTCTCCGCCCATGCCGAATTTGTGCGTGAAGAGGTCGTCCTCATCGCTATCTTCTCCTTCGCTCTGCCACGTCAATGAAGGAACAACAGTTTTCGGCCCTCAGTTTTATTTTTATTTTGATAAATGCTCTTCAACGAAGGCTGAAAGCCTTAATGTATTAGCTCTATCTTCTGTCTCTCCGCAAATGTAATTAAAATTTTAACGTCATGATGCAATTTGAGACTTACCGAATATAAAGTCGGCCAAATTGATTAAAAGGTTTCCCAAACCCTAGTAATAAAATCACAGTGCTAAATAGAAAAGCCTTGCAGGCAAGGCCAATTACGTCACAAGCCACGAGATGTTATCCCATTCTGTGGCTCGAAGGGAACGTTATTTATAATTAAATACTTCCGAGGACAAGTGCACATTGGACAGCATCACAGAAGCCATTCAGATGCATTCATTTTCTTTCATGGTATCTGATGAGCTAATTAAATCTCCATCAGGAACTCTCACAGCAAACAGTGTAACATTACAATGTAAGGGATAAAATATGGCAATACAGAATTACTTTCAAGTTACTTGTACTGCTCTGCAAGAGATCCTAATGGTGTCTTCATCTCAGGCACGACTCCCACAGCAGGATTGAGGGAAATTGATTTAAAAAAGTAGAAAAACATCGAGAGAAAAAAACACGCACATGGCAGCATCATCCCAGATCTACGTCACTCACTGGGAGCTGCCTTCTCTCCCTCTCTCGTCCGCGATCAGATGCGGCTGGGTCCAGACCCGGTTTTCTCCCTTTGGGTTTCTCCCTTGTGCCGTCGTTAGTGAGCGATTCTGGAGACGAGAGCTCTTGACGTTCCTCCTCCCCGACCCCACTGGGAGCGCCAGGGGAGCGTAGGGCGAACCCCCCCTCCGCTCCGTTCTCCTCCGTGCCGCTCTCATCCGCGCTGTCCAGGGCCACACGGATCCGGCGCGGCCTTTGTCGATCGCTCTCCTCGCCCCGAGTGTCTGAACGCAGGCACATGGGTGTGGAGAGGAGCATGGAGGTGACGTGTGGCCACATGGTTGTGGATAAAAAAAAATAAAGAGAGACATCCCAGGGTACATGAAACATAGGATTTATCTAAATAGTCAACCAATGTTTATCATATCTGCCATAGCACAGTATGTTGACAAGTGGTGCCTCGGCGGTGGTGACAGTGGCGTAGATGGTGGAGTTCGTAATCAATGATGAAGCCATGTCTGACCTTCATCGCTGCCCGACGCTACGTCAGCGTTGGGGTAATCGGCGCTCGGTGCCTCCTCGCCGTCACTATCGCTCTCCTGCAGGATGGCACGGCAACCACGAGGCTTCCTTGGCCCCACACCCTCCTCGTCCTCATCGCCAGAGTCACCACCTGCACAAGACACGTCCAAACATCCATGATGGCACCGCGATGCCACAGCTCCCTCACAGGAGACCTACACTGGCGAGCGACCCCGAGTATTAACACACGCTCTCATGAGGTGGCCCAAATGGCTCACAGAGCGCTGCGCTCGCACCGTTGAGATTCTGGTTTCGAGTACAGGTTTAAGCCATCTGTGATTCTAAAAATATCAAAAGCAATACATTTTATATGAAACGATAAATAAACTACTGAAACTACCAGAAATTGCAAGCCAATTCTGGAATGCATAATCCAATGCTACAGAAATTACTGTGCAGTACAGTATTAAACTGGCGAGTCACATTTCCACGCCGTATGGAGATGCAACAAACAAAGTCAGCATTGCTTTGCGTGCTGTTCAAGTTTTTTGTTTCAGGAATGAATTCAATTTTTATTTCCAGGTCCCCAAATTAAACCTCATAATATGCAGGGCATGGTATATCTGCCCACGTTATTTTGAAGACACACTGCACTCATGCACCAGAGACCTCCAACGAGGGAGTATTTCTGACAGCTGCGGTGCTGGTTCATACCTGCAGCACTAGCGAGGACGTGGGTGCGTTGAGTGACACCAGGAGATGGCACGAGAGACGCAGTGAGCGGGACGCGAGAGCCCTCATGACACTGAGCGTCCAACATGACCCCGCTGGACTCGGAATCCATCTCCACCGAGGTCACGGGGTCGATCTGAGATGCAACACAGACAACACCATCTGTAATACCACCCCCACCATAAACATCAACAGCCCATAAATAACAACATCACCACTATCAGCACAAAAATACACTGCCACCATCACCACCATTAATAGCAAACACCACTATCAGGACCCCCTCCATGAGCACGGACTTTTATTTACTTCTTGTTTTTACCAGGTAAGGCCACTGAGCTATGCAGCTCATTTTCAGAAGCGACCTAGCCACAAATGACAGCTCAACCAAGTCACTTATCACGCAGAAATGTATAGCAGCCAAATACTTTAAACGCATGTTGATTCTAAATGTGGGGGGAGGAAAACCGGAGGAACCGCAGAAAATCCACGCAACCACGGGGGAAAGAGAGAAAGAGAAGATGCAAACTCCACATATACAGTAGGCGTAAGGGTCGTAATCGAACCCACGACCTCCTGTATACCAGGCGAGATAGTTAATATATCACCACCGTGGCGATATGGTCAGGACAGAGCTCATGGAATTGACCAACCATCTACTCCTTATCGCGAGAGGTCCTAACGTGCGGGTCACAATAGCCAGTGGCCGTGACTTGCATCGCGCAGGTGCTGGGAATTGTCCGACACTGACGGGTGATGAAGGGCACACGTGTGGTGGAACCATTTTGTGTTGAGGTGATGTCAATATTCATAATCCACTGTAGAGAAACTGTAGTCAGACATCTTTAAGTGGCAGTAGTGTTTAAGGACGCCGCACATTATTTGAAGGCACAGAGAGGCTTTAAGGCAGCGATCTTCACGACATTTTCAGAGGGGAGGGGGGGGCCACTATCGCCGATAAGACATCACCAGTGCGAGGGTCACATCATTGTTGGGTTTGACAGCAGCACGACGCGGTGGCCTTCTGTTTGTTCGCGGTCAGCAGGCCCAGAGGGCAAACAGGACGAGCTCTAGGGGAAAGAGAGGCGTGATCGCCACTAACAATCACTCTGCTCGCCAAACCACAGGAACTCGCACACCGTTACCACCCCGCCACAACCACCACTCATCGCCAACACGAAGCCACGCGGTTGTTTTCGCTGGAGTTTCTCACCCTGGTTCACCAAAATAACCTTGAATCACCACCACCACCAGCCACTCACCCCTCCATTATTACCACTCACCACCAAACTCACAACGCAACCTTTCAGTCACGCACTCACCACCCAGCAGACCCGGGGGTAAAATGTATTTGCTATTACAACACATTTGTGACTGAAAATACAGTTACATCATTCATTACCAATATCAACAATACTTATTGTAAGAACTCGCAAATCACCACCCAATCTCGACCACGCATCACACTCACCACCCAGTCTCTCAGCAGCTCACCACCCCCTCACCACCAGCGACACAACCCCAACCCCATTGTAATTGACAATCAAAAAGCCACCAGAGGCCCGCCACCAAGCTCCCGTTTTACCTCACGCACCGGCCCATCGCGGAGGTCCGATTGCAGCTTCATCGCGGCGAGTCACCGCGCGTCCCTCGAGACTTTTGGGCGCGAGTCTCTCTGCTCTGCCTCTTGAGTCCCCGCCGTGTGTGTTGTGCTGTGTGTGCTGTATGTGTTGTGTGTGCTCTGTGTGTTGTGTTGTGGTGGATCTTGTGCGCGGGTTGAGAGACGCTCACACTTTGGAATTTGGCGCGAACCCGCAGCGCGCATGCGCAGAGCGAAACGTGACGTCATCAACAAAAACGAGGGAAAAAATGGCGAGAACCCCCACCCCCCAACGAGTCGGAACTCGGCGGCCATCGTGATCAGGTCAACATTATTTCGCTTACAGCGTCTTCGCTTGAACTGAAGAAAAAAATAACAGCACGCCCCCTGGGCGGACGTGGGCTGCCATCGTTTTGACCGGCGATAAACCCCCGGCGACGCCGATCACAAACACTCGGGAATTGTGTCGGTAAGCTTTCTCGGCTCTCGGCGGCCATCTTGGTTAGGGCACAGTGGTGTTGGTGGTGGGTCGGGGGGGTGCACGGGGGCCGTTTCCGGCGTGGCTGTGACGTCACTTCCGTCGGCTGAGCCCGTTCAAACGACGCGGGACGCCACCCGGGTGAGGAGGGTGCCGTGCGGCTCTGCTGCACCACGCGTAGCCAACAGAGCCGGTCTGTGGGTCTCTACGGGTGTCGATGGGTGTCTCTGTGGGTCTAAGGGTGTCTCTGTGGGTCTCTGGGTGTCTCTGTGGGTCTCTGGGTGTCTCTGTGGGTCTAAGGGTGTCTCTGTGGGGTCTCTAGGTGTCTGGGTGTCTCTGTGGGTCTAAGGGTGTCTCTGTGGGTCTCTGGGTGTCTCTGTGGGTATCTGGGTGTCTGGGTGTCTCTGTGGGTCTAGGGGTGTCTCTGTGGGGTCTCTAGGTGTCTGGGTGTCTCTGTGAGTCTCTGGGTGTCTCTGTGGGTCTAAGGGTGTCTCTGTGGGTCTCTGGGTGTCTCTGTAGGTCTCTGGGTGTCTGGGTGTTTCTGTGGGTCTTTGGATGTGTGGGGTCTCTAGGTGTCTGGGTGTCTCTGTGGGGCTAAGGGTGTCTCTGTGGGTCTCTGGGTGTCTGGGTGTCTTTGTGGGTCTCTAGGTGTCTGGGTGTGTGGGGTCTCTAGGTGCCTGGGTGTCTCTGTGGGTCTCGAGGTGTCTGGGTCTCGAGGTTGTCTATGGGTGTCTCTGTGGGTCTGGGCGTCTGGCAATCTCTTGTATGTATGTACTATGTACGTACGGTACGCTGGACTCGCTGAGAATCACAACAGCATCGCCCTCCATCACCTACTGCGATGATAACTCGGCAGGACCCTCCTGAGAGGAGAGGAGAGCCTTTGGACTCCGTGAGCCTTTCCCCGGGGTACACAAAGCGGCGTTCCGCCTGTAGCCGCGACGGAATCTGCGGTCCGTGCGCGGCTTATTTTGGTGTGAAAAACTTCTTCGTAAAGGGGATTTGTAAACGCAATACATTAGTGAGACTTGATTGATGTTGGGAGTTCTTGTTGTATGTATGTATGTTGAACTTCTTTCGCACCGTACGCAGCCAACCGTGCTAATCGGAGGTGCGGGGGAGGGACGAGCTAAACACAAAAAGCAGTCGTGAAGAAATGAGTTTTCAATCGAGATGATTGACAAGTGCAACTATTGCCGCCGTGCACCACCCACGGCTTCTCTCTCCTCACTCGCCCGCACGCCGTCAGTCGCCTCCTCGTCACTCTGCTATCGCTACTACTACTACTGCTGGACATCTGTGAAAAAGAGCTGCATAGCTCATCGGATTCCTCCAGTCTAAATAAATATCATGATTCTGAACTTCACTTGTTGATTCATCCTGCCGTGTTGACTGCTCGGTCTACCAGACACTGACCGCGACGTCTCATGCATATCGTGTTGAACCATCAGCACACACTGCAGCTCACAAGAACTCACCCACTCACAACATTTGCAGTTAACAAATCACCCACTCACTGCAGTTCACAACCACTCACCACACTGCAGTTCACAATAACTCACCACACTGAAATTCACACTAACTCACCCACCCACTCACCACATTGCAGTTCACAACAACTCACCCACTCACCACTGTAGTTCACACCAACTCACCCACCCACTCACCACTGCAGGTCACAACAACTCACCCACCCATTAACCACGCTGCAGGTCACACCAACTCACCCACTCACCACTGCAGGTCACAACAACTCACCCACCCATTCACCACGCTGCAGGTCACACCAACTCACCCACTCACCACTGCAGGTCACAACAACTCACCCACGCACTCACCACGCTGCAGGTCACACCAACTCCACCACCCACTCACCACTGCAGGTCACAACAACTCACCTACCCATTCACCACGCTGCAGGTCACACCAACTCACCCACTCACCACTGTAGTTCACACCAACTCACCCACCCACTCACCACTGCAGGTCACAACAACTCACCCACCCATTCACCACGCTGCAGGTCACACCAACTCACCCACTCACCACTGCAGGTCACAACAACTCACCCACGCACTCACCTACGCTGCAGGTCGCACCAACTCCACCACCCACTCACCACTGCAGGTCACAACAACTCACCCACCCATTCACCACGCTGCAGGTCACACCAACTCACCCACCCACTCACCACTGCAGGTCACAACAACTCACCCACGCACCCGCCATGCTGCAGGTCACCCCACTTCTCTTTCTGCTTCTTTCCTCGCACCGCTCCACCTCGCTAACCCCCACTCCGAGCATCTCATTTCCCCAAGTGTTTAAACCCTCCCTCGCTTCGACACGCGTTACACTCCAATGGACGTATTACAACTTTAATCGTGCTGTTTGTTGCTGACCGCTTAACGTTTCGGGCCTGTGGTCAGCAAGTGCGATGAAACAAAGCAAGTGAAAGCTACAATTCAATGTATTTGTTTTTTAAAACGCGGGCTCTGGGCTCCTGTCTTCCCCCCCCATTTTCAAATGAAAATCCAATCTCGGGATAATGTTTTGGTTACTCTCAACGCTCAGCGTCTGCGACGTGAATTAGTGACGTGCTTGGCGCGCGAGTTTTTGTTCACTCCAGTACCGATTGAGGTCCCTCCCTACCCCACGCCATACAGGATCGTGGGGATTGTGCCATACTTCACCACGCCGATCAGCGCGAGTTGGTGAAGACGGGAAGCGTAGACCCGGCAGAAAGTGGAGTACAATAGATTTGTCTGCACTGCCCGCTGCGTAGCTCCATCCAAGCCACGTCCAGGTTTAAACCCTGCCCAGCTTCCTAGATCTGATCTGATGAGCGCACTGCACTCGTGCACCTGATGATCTGAGTTTGATTCCTGACCACAGCTCATCAGTGGCGAGTGATATCTGAACCAATCCTGGGACTCCTTTTCACAAGCTTGTAACGAGTGGCATTACACACCCCATGACCGACACGGCGTGCGGAGGCCTTCATCCAGCGGCGGATTGACAATGGGATGTGATGAGATCGGATGCATTCCGAGTAAATCAATTGGTAATTTTCCTTTTGAGCATCGTCCATTTTGCTTGGCTGTCACGGTTTTGTCTCTTTCCCTGTGTTGATGGTGGTGCTAATGATGGTGACGTTACAGTGATGCTCGGGGGTTGGCAACCAAAACAACAACAAGAAGTGCCATTGTTTTCCAATTCGGTAAAAGAAACTCAATATTTGAAGAGCCGCAATGCATGTCAATTGCATCATGAAGCAGTCCTTAAAGAGCTGCATGTGGTTCCGGAACCGCAGATTTCTGACTCCTGCCCACGGTGAACTGGAGTTCCATGGCCCGGGGTCGCCAACCAAAAATAACAAGAAGAGTATTTTTCTTCGAATTTGGTTTAAAAAATAACTCTAAATCAAGAGCCGCAATGTAGTTCTTAAAGAGCCACATGCGGCTCCCATGTGATGATCAAGGAATCATTGGTGCTTCCCTGGCTGTCCCGAGGGCTCATTGTTGTTGTTGGTGCTGGGCCCCAGCAGTGTGGTTGTTGTGGCCGTGCAGGTTGTGGTCGGCGTGAGCGATGGGCGTCACGGACCTGTGGACGGTGCTGTCCCCCGTGCGGGAGCGCGTACCGCTGAGTGCGCTGGCGGGGCTCACGATCGCCGTGGACCTCGCCATGTGGGTGTGCGAGGCCCAGTCCGTCAAGGGCATGGCCAACAGCGTCAAGCGGCCACACCTGCGGTGAGAGGCCCAGTGTTTGATACCCACCCAGCCTCACCGAATCTAAACCTTTTTTGTTTTTATATCTACCAGGTAAGGCCCACTGAGCTATCAAGGTATTTATCAGAAGCGACCTGGCTATAACAAATGATAGCTCAACGAAGTGGCTTATCATCACGTGGACATTTATAGCAGCCAAATACTTTAAACGCGTGATGTTGATTCTAAATGTGGAGGGGAAAACATGAGGATCCGGAGAAAAATCCACGCGACCATGGGGAGAACATGCAAACTCCAAATATACAGGCGTAAGGGTCGGGATTGAACCCACAATCTGTAAACCAGGAGAAGTATTTAACATCTCACCACCGTGGCGCCCAAGTGCGAATCACTGCTCACAGACTCAAACCTCGCTCACCCCCATCCCGGTCACCCCCACCACATTCACTCCAGCCCCACTCACTCCTGTCTCACTCATCCCCATCTCATTCATCCGTGTTTCACTCTCCCCTCCGCCTCACTGAATCCCACCACACTTTGTGTTGAAGCCCCTAGTAAACCTTCACACAGGGTAAGGTAGCTCGGTTTTTCATTGCCGTTTCCTCCAGCAATCCGTGCTGTCAACTCCCCACCCATCTTTAAGTCCTGACGCAAGAGCTTCTTTCTTTCCTCTGCCTAGGACTCACTGCCTCTCTCTATAAAATATATATCCCAACTGTGTCAATAAAGCATCATGAGATATCGCGTTCAGACGCTATAAAAATTCAAATGTTAATATACGTTCCCTTGTATGGTTTCACGATATTTTCCAAGCATCTGTGAGGTGCTCGTGAATAATGAATCCATGATACCGTAACGAGGTGACTCCTGCTTGTGTCGCGCAGGAACCTGTTTTTCCGCGTGTCGCTGCTGTGTCGCCTGGGCCTGCGTCTTGTGTTTGTGGTGGAAGGAGACGCGCCCGCGCTCAAGGCCGGCACGATGGCCCAGCGCAACGAGGCCCGCTTCGGGCCCAGCGCCAGGGTCCGCCGCGGCAAAACAAACCGTGCACAGCTCAGGGCGACCCTCAAGGAGGTGGGAGCCGGAGTCAACTGGGTTCCTTCGAGTTCAAATTAAATGATTTTAAATTAGATTTTCACGCCATTCTTATAGCGCAAGGCTGTCACGCTTTGCGCTGTGTTTCACAGATGCCTTGGTGATAGTAGTTTTGCAGTCAGGAGCAATGTTGTTACTTGGCTTTACCCAGTTAATTCATTTGAGGGTGGTTTTTCCAATTTGACCGTTATATCGTCATAAATCACAGGATATTTAACATGCACTGTGAATCAGACGGCACAAATGGCATTTCAAAAGCAACATATCGAGTTTTTTACTTTGTATGTTGAGTTTTGAGAAGCCATTCGATGACATCTGGGGTCGAATATTGGATTCTGTTTGTGCCTCCTGCAAAAGCGCGTGCGATTGGGCAGTGATCGGTGACGTGAGTGATGGCGTGCACTTCACCACAGTCGCAATTTGCTGACACCTTAATTCACCAATTTATGGAGATTTGCATTGCCTCTTAATAGCGAGCGGAGCGTGGACTGCTAAGATGCAGCAGCTGGCACAGTGGGGAGCACTGATGGTGCCTCTGCCAGTGATCTCAGTCAGCCAACCCATGGCACCTGGGTCTCCCGTGACCTGTCAGCGAGCCTTTGACACTTCATGTGGCTTCAAAGTGCACCTAACCTGGTACAGCCACTGTGGTGATACCACCACCACTTATTGGCAAACGGCAGCTGTTGTTTTTGTTGGGTAACTGTGTGTGTGGGTCCCAGTGCAACGGTTAGTGGTAGTGAAACGGTTAGCACGCTCCCCTACGAACCCAGCGACATGAGTTCGATTCCCGCTTGCGGCCAACACCAGTGACGACTTCTGAACCGATCCTGAGTTACGATGGCCCGACTTACGATATTTTGATCTTACGATGGCGATAGCGATACGACAAAATTGTAAAATATTTTAAATTTCGCGCGGCAGGCAAACGCAGCAGTGTACGAGGTATGATACTGTACGTTGGGACGCTGCCGGGATGTACGCATCTCCCGCGTTTTTATTAAATTGCAGTTCATATAGGTAGGTTAAGAATTTACCTTTTTTTACTTTACATTTTACTGTGCAATACAGTATTGTGATTAATAAATACATACAGTATATAGTTTATACAGTACGGTACTGTAAATTGCTCTGTTTTCTAAATTATCACCATTCTTTAAGACTCCTGGGTAGGCGAGGCCATCTTCGACTTACGATATTTTTGACTTACGATGGGGTCGTTGTAACGCATCTCCATCGTAAGTAGAGGACTACCTGTACCTGATGTGTAAACATTGGCACTGGGGAGACAAAAGCAGCCCGGCATGGTGCTGGCCACCCACCCCCTTGTGTGCCGTTCCGGCCTTCATAGGTACTCACCAACAGCATTTTCCCTGAAAGTGTGTTAAAGCTATACGAGGGATCTTTGTGTTTGTGGTTATCAGTGCTGTGAGCTGCTGTCCTCGTTGGGCCTGCCGTGCCTGCAAGCCGCGGGAGAGGGCGAGGCTCTGTGTGCGGCGCTCGACGCGGCCGGGCTGGTGCACGGCTGCTTCACTGATGACGGCGACGCCTTCTTGTATGGCGCCCGCACCGTCTACCGTGGCCTCGCCGTGAGCGACCAGGTACCCACCTACACCACCATCAACACCGCCACCAGCACGACACCGCCACCACCAACACCATCACCACGAACACCGCCACCACCAACACCATCACCACGGACACCGCCTCCATGACACCGTCACCACAAACATGACACCACCACCAACACCGCCACCAACACCGCCAGCACGACACCACCATCACGACACCGCCACCAACATCACACCAACACCATCACCACCAACAATGCTACCAACACCACCACGACACCAACGCGACACCACCATCACCAACAACACCGCCACCTTGACACCGTCACCATGACATCGCCACCACCAAAATCGCCACTGCCACCACCAACACTGCCACCACCACTGCCACCACCAACACCACCAAAACCACCATCAACCGCCCATAGCACCCTCAATGGCATCCCTGCCAGGAGACACAATTGCATAACATGTGGGTGCTATTTAACTTGATTTTCAAGACAACATTCATCCATCCACAGCAACGTAGAGGTCTAAATCTGCTCCTGTAATGAAACAACTTCTACACGGTGCTTGTGTTTTATCTCATGGAGATATAGGGTGGGTTTATTGTCGTGTGTGTGTGGGCGCATGACGTGGGCATATTGTTTGCACGGTGTGTGATGTAGCATCGCGTGTGTTTTATTTCTTGGGGTAACTGGTGACCATCGCCTCGTTGTTCCGTATCAGGACCCCCATGTGGAGCGCTACTGCGTGGACAGGATACGGAGGGAGCTCGGTCTGGATCGCGATGCTCTCATCGGTCTCGCTGTGCTTCTCGGCTGTGACTACCTGCCCAAGGTGCCAGTATGCGCGTATAGGCACGCGCCTCCACATGCCTGTTTTTAAGCACGCGTGCGTACCAATGGTGTAGCGTGGCTGGCATGAGCCCTGGTGCAAGGTATAAAGAAGCTCCTTGGAGACGTCCATTTTGTAGAAGTTCAGCTTTATTTCTAACTTCACATATTTACAATTCCTAGTGTAACAACTGCCACACTCATCATTACTATGGCTATCTCCAGCCCCGATGGTTTCCATCAAGTTGGTTCTCGAACAGTCTGCCTCGATGCCGTCAACCTTGGTCGTTGATTAGTCCCCAAGCGTGGGCCTCACTCCCCCTCATATACTCGCTAGGCCCCGCCCCTATCGGACAGTGCCCCCCCACCACTTTACTGCAACACGTGTGTCCTTTATTATATAATGATTACAGTGCCTTCCGACCACCTGTTTCCAATTATCTCAACGTGTGCCCTCGAGCACTTTCTCTGTACACGTGCCGAAGGTGCATTTCACACGACGTACACATGGCCCAGGCATCTTAGTGTCACATGAGCAGTTTACCTGACACAGCCATATCCACCAATCACAGCCACAAGACTGCAGAACATGACATTGCCAGCCCTCTTCCCGAGTCCCAATAATCTGTCGCCATCCTAGGAAAATGGCGACACTGCCAGGCACTGCCAGGTCCTCCGGCAAAGCGCCAGCGCTTGCCCCTACCATCTCATTTATTTGTAGTCGGTGCCTGGGCACGTCTGACCCATGGGCGGCAGTGTTGTTCTCCTTAACCTGCGCTACATTCTCTAATCCACGTGGGCTTCTTTCTATCTCTCGGTAGAATCTAAAGCGTGCATCTCGCCTCGCTACTTTGGACACTTTTCTCTGTTCACATTCACATATCCCGGGGGATCGTACTGTTTCCAGAAGTCGCACACTAGAAAAAGTAAGCCCTATCCTTTAAATTGTGGAAAACGGGAAAGCTCCTGGACCGGTTGTGCAACTGATGACATCATCATCGAGGCAGGACCAGTTTATAGGTAAAAAAACGACCGGACTTGTTCACTTAAGGTTCACGCAGAACTTCAACTTTTCGATCGTGGAACGTTCTGCTGAGGTGACGGCATGCGTAGGAATGTGTGTGTGTGTATGGTCAACCTCAAAGTGCAGAGCGGTGGTGTAGCGGTCAACACGCTGCGCTACGAATCCAATATTATAATTTAATAAAATGACAAGCCGTCATTAAGAAAGCCCCTAGGCTAAAAACACTGCAATATGTAAGTATGTTAAACTTATATTGCACCGTACGTGCAATAGACATGCAGGTATTGTTGTTGTGTGCTTGTGTGTGCATGGAGAGACGGTAGTGGGGAGCGGTAGTGTCGTTGTTAGTGCGCTGCGCTACGAACGTTGCAGCCCAAGTTCGCTTCTCGTTCTTGGCCAACACCAGTGACGATTATGTAAACTTTTTCCTGAGCCTCTCCTAGGTTGGCTCAGCCTCAAACGAGTACCTGGTGGGGTGTGTAAACATAACCACTAAGAGACAAAGAAGGCCGGGTGTGGTGCTGGCCACCCACTCCCCTCGTGTGTGGCGCCGGCCTTCAGAGGTGCTGTCCACTCACACCACTTGCCCCAAGTTTGTTAAGGCTATACGGACGATCTTTGTCTTTGCCAGGGCGTGAAGGGCATTGGCAAGGAGCTGGCTCTCAAGCTCATCCACTCGCTGCAAGGCGAGAGTCTTCTGAACAGGTCGTGCACCGAGTGTGAGCGTGAGACGGACACGCTGAGGGCATGCGCGCGCGCACATGTGTTTAGCCGGGGAGGCGCGGTAACAAGTTGAATCACACCCTGCGGTACGTTGTGGTGACAGGAGTTTGAAATACAGTCGTCTCCTTATCGCTCTTCTATTGCTACTATCACGGTTCCTGTTTCCATTATCCTTGCTAATTGGTTGCTCCACCCATGTTGAGAACTTGGTCTACCAGACTGTGTCATCTTATGCACCACACTCTGTCCAAAGACCACTGCAGGTCATAACAACACACCCGCTCGCACACTCACCACTCTCACCACACTGCCTCTAACTCCGCTTCTTCCCCCGTTAACAATCGTTTTGTCTGATATTTAGGCAGCATTGGCTGGGTGAATCCGCGTGCGCTCGGCACATATATGGCCAGGGATTCACACTCGAAAAGCTCAGGGACTTCGCAAGATAAATTGTTGCTCCACAGTTGCAAATTCACGCATAGTTGCCCCCCACATGTACGCAACGGTATATGTGTGCTCGCTAACAGCACTTGCCCCAACAGTCTGTTATGGCTATATGGGAGATCTCCATAAATGTATATGTGTGTGTGTGTGTAAATGCGTGCTAGTTGTCAAACATGCCCCATTTCACATGCAAATTCACAAACAGAGGTCAGAAACGATGTAGATTAAAGCTCTTCAAACTACGGCTCCTGGACACGTTTAATCCGGCCCAGGGTAACGCTCAAACTCACTCTTAAAAACGACCTGCCAGTGACTCGAAAATTAAATAAATAAAGTTAATCGCCTTACCCTGCAATTGGCTTCTTACAGTAACAGAAGTGACTGAGGCACGTCAATGTGTCGTTGCACCCCCTCGAGGTATTGAAATTCCCATTGGTCCCTTAGCGAGGACAAGGTTCCACTGGTACCCTGACACATCAAGCGACATCCTCTGCCGCTGCTGAGTGCCTCTGTGCCGTCACACCCGCCAGGTTTCGCGCATGGAGGAAGGGTCCCTCGAGCGGAGCGCACCGCCCGGAAGACGGCGAGGGTCACCGGCGGCAGCGGCACTGCACGCAGGAGGCTGCCGCCGCCGAGTCGGCCGTCAGGAGGTACTGCACGTCGGCCGCTACCGAGCGGGCCCCGTCTGCCTTAGCGCCGGGCGACGTAAAGCGACCGCGCGACAACACCGGAATCGAAGGGCGTCTGTTATATAAGTGTAATGGTTCGATACAGGCGCTCACACTCGTGTGGAGGCAACACTTTATTGAACACAACTGCAACACACCCTACACATAAGGTGGTGACCACCGTCCTACTCTCGCTAACACTCGGGTACTACTTGGCGTGGCAAAGCCAGGAGGGCTTCTGCTTGGCCACGATGACTGGAGGCTTCTTTCTTCAGAGTCTTCATGAGACGGCTTCATCCCAGGCACCAACAGCCCAGCTCTCTGCGCTGACCCCCCTTATGAGCCTCTCTGGCGTGGCCGGCCACACCCTGGCCACGCCCCCCTTCTCGAACCCACGAGAAGGCTCCACTCCCCCACCACGTGGCCCCCAGGGTCCCCCAGGGCCCCTGGCCCCCTCCTGGATCCGGTCACGTGCCCAGCCGGGGTCACTCGGAGCGCCACGGCCTGACACAACCCCCGTGGCACCCATCAACAGCCTCCATACTGAACAGGCAGTGACGTCACGTGTACAGACCCGACAGCAGTGACGTCATGTGTATACAGACCCAATACAGTAGTGACGTCACTACATAAGTAAATAGTTTCACCCCGGAAAGTCTGGAGGTGGAACACCCCCATTGCGCGGGCGTCCACTACGGTGTGTGAAGATCAACCACTGCGGATGTCGGTGTCGTAATATGTACGTTGAACTTCTTTTGCACTGGACGTAGCCAGCTGTGCTAATCGGAGGTGCGGGAAAAGTATTATTTAATGGTATACAGATATAAAGGCAGATATCAAGATGACAATCCCGGTGGATGCTGTGTTGCAGGAAGGCGCTGGAGTGCCCCGGCTTCCCGCACGAGGACGTGAGTAACAACGGCCGAGCAGATCGTGCGAGCGGAAGTTATGTGCGCTTACAACGAGACTGCACCAGCACCAGCACTCCCCATGCCCCCACGTCTCCCATTGGCCATGCTCTAAGCGGCTTATAGCCCCAAGAGGACGACCACGGTGGAGATTCATGTTATTTATTTGCATCGATATTTATCTTTATTTACACTGGATGAATCTGATGAGCTGTGAAGCTATTTTTTCACGGATATCAGCGGACAGGGCCCAATGAGCTGTTAAGCTCTAATTCATGGGCATGCTATAGGCGTCGTGCACATTGGGCGAATTGAGATCGGTGAGATGGACGGTAGCAGCACTGGGCTGATTAACCAAGAGACAGTCTAATAAGAACCAGTGAACTTTCAATAAGGGTTAGCATCAATGGCATTGCACGAAGAACCGATGAAGATAATTTCTTGAACATTGTTTTACAAAAGAAATTGAAGAACACGTGAGCGGAGGGTGCTCTCGTGGTGGTGCAGTGTGCGTGTCACAGCGCGATGCAATGCCAGTTCACGAATCTCGTGGTGGTGCAGTGCGCGTGTCACAGCGCGATTCAATGCCAGTTCACGAATCCGTGTGGCGGAGCAATACGGAAATCTCTCCCACCCCGACGTGTTGCGGCAGAGCGGGCGGCTCGCTATCGGAAGGTTCCAAGTTTGCGTCCCGCTTGTCGGTGGACTCGTCATCCCTCTAGGATTGATCAAAATGAGGACCACTTTGTGGAGAAGTCGATGCTTCGTTTGAGCAGGAAATTACTTTGCTGAGTTTCACATGAGGTGCCTAAGCCAAACCAAGTCGCATACCAGACTCCCAAGATTCAATGTAATTTCCCTAGAATTAGAGAGCCAAACTCAGACATTGTATAAGTTCAGCAGTTCCTCGCAAAACGTTTTTAATCCGTTCCACGAAAACTACTGTTAACCGAAATAACTTAATAGAAAACAGAAAACACAATATGAACAAATCCAGTCGAGGTCTAAACGGTCATAAATGGGCACCGCTGATTGGCTCAAGCATGCTCAGCCCACTTAAGAGTATTCGGATTGGCCGAAATTGGCACCAGCGTGCATAACGTAAACATACCGTTAATCAAAATGCTAACGTTAGTCGAAACCATGGAGTCCCTAAGGGAGGCGAAAATGTTCACCGAAAAACACGTTAACCGATGTCACTTAACCAAGGGACTACTGTAATAGGGAACACGTCTTGCGCCAATCTGAACTGCTGCCTTGTTTAGCATTGGAGGCCTCTGGTGAAATTACACGGGTCTTGTGATGGTTACTTTTGAGCTATGAACATGTGATCATTAATGATGTGACATTTTATGGTTTTGCATTATGAGGGATTCATTGAAATTATGAGCTCCAAAACTGTCCACCAAATCACGCGATCGTAAAGTTGATTTAGTCTCATTACAAATGCACAGTAATGGCTTTAAAGATTTATGAACGTCAGCATAACTGGAATCTATGAATAGGAATTATGAAATTACCTCTGATGAAATTGAGAGATGGATAACAGCGGGTTGGAGTGCTGTTGGAAATCTGAGCTTGATAATTATAATCAGAGATGCGTACAAATATGTTCAAAGAAGAATGTTTAATCAGTGCGTACTTCCATGTTTGCACATGGATCAGAACTTGTTCACTGACGAAGATGTTGGAACAAAAGCTGAAAAGTGTGCAAAGAAGCACGGTGATATGCATGCTTGAGGGATTATATTGGAAACAGAAAGACGTGATATAGTGAGCAAACGCGCGTGGGTTAGAAGCATCCTATCCATTGTTGATAAAAGTCAGTGGGCTTTGGGTGAGCATGACAACAGAGTAGCAGCCAATGGTCACTGCTTCGCGTGCTTTCAGATGCACTTCTGCGGCCGTCTGGAACACTCTTCCTTCCGATATTAGGAAGCCACTGGAGTTGTGCACTTTTAAATCTCGATTTAAAACTAATTTCTTTCCAACTTCTTTTTGTGTTTAGTTTGTTGTCCTTCTCCTGCACCTCCGATTAGCACGGTTGGCTACGTATGGTGCTAAATAAATTCAACATTTGCACGTATATACCCAAGAGTACGTCCATCTGGAAAAATGGAACGATCACATCGGATCATTTGGAGGCGATGGGTAGATTATGGAATTGTGAGACTTTCAAGGATAGAGATGGCTTGGGAAGACCTTTATCCACCAGTGAATTGATTATGGCTGATGATTAGAAAATTATACCACTTCCAGTTGTGGATGAAGTTGTAGCCCTGACCTGTGACCCCGTCGCTGCTCTTCATTGTCGTGAACCAGCCTTGATAAGTCCATGAGCGCGTGTGTTTGTGTGTGCCTGTTACAGGTGATCGCTGAGTTCCGGAGCCACAAGGATAAGCTGCCATTGCAGCTGCAATGGAGTCGGCCCAACCTGCAGAAAGTGGTGGTGAGTGCAGCGATTGTTTCCTATAAACATTTGTCTCTTGTTATGGAACCACCGTATAGTACAGACATCACCAGCACCACGTCCCACGACATTGTGGACGACCAGCAACCATGGACCACAGCATGGTAACCACTCTTTTAGAGTGTGATGGAGGTTGCAGTGATATCAGAGTGATGATTCTACAGCCCAGTGTCCGAATACTTCTGGATGAAGCCCTCCCCACGCAGTGTCGGTCAGAGGAGTTGTTTGACCGTGTACCTCACCGTGCTGGTCACTGCGGGTTGGTGAAGAGGCGAGTGGCCCAGCTCCAGTTTAGATATCGCTTGCCACTGATGTTAGCTGTGGCTGGGAATCGAACTCGGATTGCCTACACTGCTGGACCTTGGGAATGAGTCGTGATTCCCAGCCAGCATCTGTCAAATGTTTAAGGTGCTTCTTTGCAGTGACACAGCTGACACATACACGTGCGTGCGCACACACATGCGTGTAAACGGAGGAAATTGATGGATTCTCCAAGTTTCCTCTAGAATGTGGCCTGTGGTTTGGTGGCTTAGTCATATAACTCTTAAACTAAAGCTTCTTTCTTTTTTTACCAGATAAGGCCCACTGAGAAATGTAACACTTTTTCAGAAGTGACCTGGCCACACGTGATTGCTCAACGAAGTAGCTTACCGTGTGGAAATGTAATGCAACCAAATCCTCTAAACGTACGTTTCGAAATGTGGAGCGAAAAACCGGAGGACCTAGAGAAAAATCCACGCGACCACGAGGAGAACACGCAAACTCAAATATACAGGCATCAAGGTCGGGATCAAACCCTCGGCCTCCTGCATACCAGGCAAGGTAGTTAACATCTTGCCACTGGCGCTGGTAGAAGGTTGAACATTTTAATGACGGTCGCAGGTTTTCTCGAAACTCCAGGGTCATTAAAATGAGTATACGTTTTGTTTCGTAGGTTCACAGTGGTTGTCCTATGGAAAGACTTGACCACACTGAGAATGTGGAATTTACACCACTGCTCTAGGAATGTAAATGGGAGATGAACACCGCCTCAATGCTCATTGAGCGAGAAGGCACTCTTGACTTGAGCGTGCACTGGAGGAAGTGCTGGCGGAGTGTTTAATGCACTGCACCGTGAATCCCGGCGACCTTAACCCTGGGGCGTCGGAGCAATGCGGCATCGGTGCCGATTCAGCTTTGGTTCAGAGGTTCGTGAAGACAAATTAATCCGAGAGTGTCTCCCCACCGCCGCCCGTGATCGGTGAGGCAGGACGTGGTGGAGAGGAAACTGGAGTGGCCACCGCACTACACCTGCCATAAGCTGCTGCTGCTGCTCGCGACCTACGATCTGCAGGAGTGCGTCGCCGGACACCGCTCCAAGTGGCACCTCCAGCCCGTGCGGTATGGGGGGTCACGGTCCCAATTGATAATACGACCCTGGACACCGAAGCTAAGCCAAATTATCATAACTGACAGCATTAGCATAATCGCATACATTTTCATAAATTAATATGATTACCCCCCTAATTTATAATTACATAGATTAGCATAATTTCCAATAGTTACACATTTTCCCAATCCTCTTTTTTTAAAATAAATTTTTCAAAACCCGACATATACAACAACGGGCACTCGTCATCACGCCGGACCCTGTCCCACTTCCTTATTAATTTATTCTTATTTTATAGTTGCACTCGTTTACCCAGGAAAGCCTCACAAGACCCTTTTTCAAGAGTGTCCTGCTAGGTTTTCACAGTTGGGGTGACACTTGCTATGCCTTTCCCAATCTGGTAATTTGCAAATAATTCTTCGAATTTGTATCGTGATTCTAGCATCTACCACTTATTCAGATGTCATCACAAGGTCTGTTACGTTCACTATGAATCAGGCAGCATGTATAGTACGGTTAATACCAGAGGTGTGGACTCGAGTCATGTGACTTGGACTCGAGTCAGACTCGAGTCATGAATTTGATGACTTCAGACTCGACTTGGACTTGCATAACAATGACTTTGTCCCACCTCTGAGGTGTGGACTCGAGTCATGTGACTTGGACTCGAGTCAGACTCGAGTCATGAATTTGATGACTTCAGACTCGACTTGGACTTGCATAACAATGACTTTGTCCCACCTCTGGTTAATACACACGGCAGTATTAACCAGGGTGGACTGTGGGTTTTTTAACCTCTACCGGTGGGCCATGCCACAGCCCCCAAAAGTGGCGTCCTCACAACGCAGGGCTGGTTCCGGGGTGTCAGGCCCCAATGTAACAGATTTCTTAACAAAACGGCTTCACTTCAAAAGGAGACCAGATTTAGCCCGCTTACCACTCTTCAGTCCCGCACACTGTCTCTTTCCACCCAGCCGTAGACATTGGTACAGCACAAGTTGTCGATCGGCAGGGGTTGGGTAAAGTGTAGTACTGTTAAATGAAGACACACACTACGTGGTTGGAGGCAATCCGTTTATTAACACTTCAAACTAGATTCTAAGCTTTCGTGACTGCAGGGAGTATTCTTTGGTTCTTTCGGTAAAGTCACGTAGAAATAAATTGAATTAAATTCGATTGCAACACAAGCAACCATCATCAGGTACAAATGTGTAATAAAAAGGACTTAGACACTTCTTACTGACTCCGTGTCCTTTATTTGGGGTTCGCGTTCTCCTTCCCACACGGCACTCCTCCTGAGACTCTCTCCCTGGCAGCCCCACATCTGCCTTCGCTCCCGTAGCCTTCCACGCTCCTGCAGCTCCGCTGCAGGCTCTTGGTGCAGCCCTCCGGCTGCCCCCACAGCAGCTCCATCGCTGCTCCCTGTTCCTCCGTGCGTGGCGATCTCGCCACCTCCCAAGTTAGCCCTTCGTGGCCTCTATGGCTACCTCGCCATCTCCAACCTCAATCCTCCATTCTCTCTTCCACCCCGCTGGCTGGCGCCGTCATGAGCCCCTCAGCCACCAGGCTGAGGCACGGCGACCACCCAACGTGTTCACCACCCTTCACTCCCCCGACTCCCCAGATAGCTTCCTGTCTCCCCGCTATAACTTCTCCCCCACGTCACCCTGACTCCTCCCTCTCGGATCGTCATATCCGCCCCGCCCATTTACGCCCGCATTACACTACCCTCCCCCGTAGAGAAAATCCCAGCCGTCCTCGGCTGAAACAGAACAAAATAATGCGGGCGAAGGCATCACAATCAGGAGTCCCCCAGACACAACGGAGATTATAACAACAACAACACAAGCAACGAAAGGGGAGGTATCAGGAACTGGAACAGAACACCGGCCTGTCCTCCGCACAACAACAACAAGAATAAGAATGGCACAATGAACAAAAACGGCAACTGACACGCAAGAACGGCCAACGCGCACAACCCAGAAATGTGATGTTTTAGTGCGTGTCCATGTTGCAGTTCCATCCGCTCGGCTCAAGTCCAACGTCAAAGAGCAAGTGGTAGAGCAGAATGACGAACGGCGCTCAATTGCTCCTTCAAGTCCTCATCCAGCTAGCACACCAGGTAACACCCAGTGCGACGGGAGCTGAAGAATCTGTGACGAGAAGGAGAATCCAATCCCCTGAGGCACAGCACAACAACGCACATCCGCATGTCGTACACGACAGCCACCCGGCCCCAGGGTAGTGGAGATGATGTAAATCCGGCCCGCTTAAAAAAAACTCCCCATAAATACCCAAAATAAACGCAATGGATGCCCCAGTATTTACATTTTAACAACAATATTATTTACACGTAACAACAACAACAAAATTTCTGCTCTTACCCACCAGCAGTCCTCCCTTGAGGACCAGCACAGACATCGCACGTACCCAGCATGTACCCACGGTCACTCTCAGCAACCCAACAAAACGCCTAATCGCACACCCTCGCGTGGAGAGAGCCACGCTCCCCAGCGGTAATGTTTAACTCGCCCTAACCCCCACCGTGGTCGTCAACCCACAGCAACATCCACTGACCATACTCTCAGCTAGTGCAATTTCGGGGATGAGCAGCAACTCGGCCACGCTCCTCCCTTACTATCCCATCAGAGATGGACACACACCAGCCTCGTATAGTCCGATGCTTTATAGCCCAGGGAAGGTTCATCCCCCAGCAATGCCAGACCCCCTGTACTCCCCCCACGGGGCAATGTTCTCTTATAGAGACAATAACACCCTAACCCAGATCCCGTGAGCCCCCGGCACACCAGGTTCAGTCTGCCACCGCACAACTGAACCATGACTCCCCGAGCCATATGAGCACATGGCCCATTAGTTTAAGACATACCACGGAGGTTTCGCCTCCGGGCTGTCAGGTCAGCCATCAGCCATAGGCCGATGTGACCACAACTCGTGCATCACCCAATCAACAATGGCAGGCATAACAGATGGAATATTTGCCCCACCCCGGTTTTTCCCGCGCGCTCAAAATGGCGTCCCCCTTCGCCCAGCGCGTTCGCGCAATCTCTCGCGCGCACTCAAAATGGCGGCCCTTTCCGCAAAGCGCATCGTCGCCATACCCCGCGTGCGCGCAAAATGGCGGCCCAACGTGCGAACACGTGGCCAGTTTTCTCCATTCGTGCACCCCAGCTTCCCTTAGCTGGGGGTCACAAGACGCATCCCCCGTCACGTTATAACAACCCCACCAACGATAGACGCACAGCCCCAGCTTGCTGCGCACAGCTGTCATATCGTGGAATTTTTAACCAATATTTTACCAACCACATTAGTTACACAACCCAACTCGCCAAGCAACTCGTGGCTGCATGCGATCAACCGAATACGCGACGCCACTTGGCGCCAATTTACGATCCCATTAGCATTAACATCTAAACCACCCACAACGGCGTCATCGCGCACCCTCATTCTCAAAAAGCTCAATTACCCCTATAATATACACGCAATCTCGTGTGCACAACACCCATACAACCAAATTTTTGGGTCCCCCTCTATAATATACACGCAATCTCGTGTGCACAACACCCATACAACCAAATTTTATGGTCCCCCTCTATAATATACACGCAATCTCGTGTGCACAACAACCATACAACCAAATTTTTGGGTCCCCCTCGAATTTGTTACCAATTTCCAACAGGTACGCACAATATAATAACAATCCCAATTCCAATAATCAACCACTGCATCGCACCCCATAACCATACAGAACAGTATAACAGCACATACAATCAGCATATTGCGATCACACGCGTACATTTAAACACAATAGCAAGCAGATCTGCAGGCAACCAACACACCATTAATCCTGTCGTAACTTTGCAGCAACAACACAATTATTCTCTCTCTTGCAACAATCGCATCGCACACAGCACCTCGCAGCACAATACACCAAAAAAATATATATATTTTTTTTCCAATTAAGCCCATCACACAAGGTAACCCACAAATAATACAGCGCAAGATACCCGACGCTCCCAAGTTAATAATTAACTTCACCATCAAGATAACAACTCCACGCAGCAGCGCACACACACAATTTGACACTCAGCAAATACAGCAGACTCTCCGTCCATTCTCAACACACGCACACACTTATATTGACACCAAGCAACAAGCAGATAGCGCGTTCATCGTTATTACACACACATACAGACAGTCCGAACCGCGCTCCGCACAATCGAGTCATAAGAGAAAACCAAAATAGCCCCCCCCCGGCCCTCGAAAGATGAGTGAGGTGTGTGTTAAGGCCGGGTGCGTATCGTTATGACTCGCCCGGGGCTGCAGCAAGAAGAGGACGGCAGGGTGGCAACTTGAGACGCCTCGCAGAACTCGTTCGGCGACTTGACGGCTCCGTTGTCACGCACCCGAGCCAGGACGGGAAGCTCCCGCCCCAGCAGCTGCAGCATCGGCGTCTTCTCCTCGCAGCACCCCCTCGAAAAACAGCAGCTCACAGCAGGCTGCTCACCCCGCGGCACCTCCAGATGGCAGCGCAAGGCTGCCTCTCCGCCGCGATGTTGAAGATGGCGGCGTCCTCCCGCCGCGGTGAAGACAAGATGGCGGCTTCCCGCCGTTTCTCCCCTGCCACGCCCAAGATGGCGTCTTCGTGCCACGTGGCAGATGGCGCTGGCAGCTCAGGAAAGGCAGAGGCCTACGGATCACCACCGGGCCTCCCCGACGTCGTCCTCGGCGTGGTGAACTCACACAGTCGCGCCAGCACGATTTTCAAGGTCCCCATCTGCATCACCATCTGTCTCCATCGTAAGTTGGCATCCTCCGGCACAGACAGGTCCACCGACGCGGCGACACCTTGCTCACCCGGACCTGTACTCGTTCCAGAACGGATCTCCTCTTCCATCGCAGGCAGGTCCACTGTCTGAGGAAGGTCGTCGTCGTCGGATGATGTAGCAGGAATATTTTTTTTTTTCTTCTTTCTCTCAGTTGTTTTGAGATGCCGTTTCACTTCTGACTCCAGTGTAATAAAAAGGACTTAGACACTTCTTACTGACTCCGTGTCCTTTATTTGGGGTTCGCGTTCTCCTTCCCACACGGCACTCCTCCTGAGACTCTCTCCCTGGCAGCCCCACATCTGCCTTCGCTCCCGTAGCCTTCCACGCTCCTGCAGCTCCGCTGCAGGCTCTTGGTGCAGCCCTCCGGCTGCCCCCACAGCAGCTCCATCGCTGCTCCCTGTTCCTCCGTGCGTGGCGATCTCGCCACCTCCCAAGTTAGCCCTTCGTGGCCTCTATGGCTACCTCGCCATCTCCAACCTCAATCCTCCATTCTCTCTTCCACCCCGCTGGCTGGCGCCGTCATGAGCCCCTCAGCCACCAGGCTGAGGCACGGCGACCACCCAACGTGTTCACCACCCTTCACTCCCCCGACTCCCCAGATAGCTTCCTGTCTCCCCGCTATAACTTCTCCCCCACGTCACCCTGACTCCTCCCTCTCGGATCGTCATATCCGCCCCGCCCATTTACGCCCGCATTACAAATGTATGAGAAAACAAACATAGTAAACTTGGAAACATAATGCAAAACAACACAGAGAGTCGGCCAACAAAACAGTCAACACCCTACCTGGTTGATTACGTTCTTCCAAAGATTTCTCAATTTGAGAGAGAGACAAAACATAGACACGGAGACACACAGACAGACAGACACACAAGCAGAGAGAGACTCACACAGAGACACACAGACAGACACACACGCAGGCACACAGAAAGACAACGTCTCTGTGTCGAGGCCTTAAATAGAGAGAGCATATATTCTTGGTTCTTTCGGTAAAGTCACGTAGAAGGGAAATAATAAAATAATATATTAATCTTCTTTTATTATTTCCCTTCTACGTGACCAAGAATATGAATCCCTGCAGTCACGAAAGCTTTAAATCAAGATTTTAGAGAGAGAATATTAACTTAATTAGGACCTTTATGGAGCTGGTTCTATAATTGGTGTAGACGTCTTTGTCATTACGTAACCCCCTATACACGAGGCTATTGAAGCTCCACGACCCCACGACGTGACCCGACTCGCCGAACATCACCCACTCAATCAACCCTCGATCATCTCTGCGCTCCCCTTTTTATTACACGCTTTTATTTAACTCACTCTGTCTGTTGTTGTTGTCGTATCCTCAAATCTTGTAACTCAATTTTAACCCACTTCCCAATGTGGTATCGACTGCAAACTTGGTATACTCATGTCATACTGATGACAATACCATATTATATCATTAAAAATAAATTAACGATCTTTTTGCACGCTTTCTATGAACTCACTCTGTCTGTTGTTGTCGTATCCTCAAATCTTGTAACTCAATTTTAACCCACTTCCCAATGTGGTATCGACTACAAACTTGGTATACTTATGTCATTAATTTTTACATGTTATGTTTTGGCTTGGGTCTAATTGTCCACGCTCAACTGGCGTTGGCTGTAAATCACCACGGCCCCTTACATTATGGCAAGCTTTGCGGCCACTTCCTGGAGTCGTGGAGTTCTGCCATTACGAGTAGGGTACATTTCATTAAAGCGTGTTTAAAAAAAAGTATTTTTAAATATTACTTATATCCTCTTGCGCGCTCTATCCCTCTAGTGGCGGATTTACCGTAATTACAAAAGTGTGGGGTACTCCAGGGAGGTCCACATCTTGTTGTATCGCATGAGACGTATATGTATGTATGTTGAACTTTTTTCGCACTGTACATAGTGCGGAGGAAAAACAACAAACTGAACACAAAAAGTACATAGGTCCCTTGATGTGGCTTCCTAATATCTGAAGAGCATTCCAGACAACTGCAGAAGCGCATCTGAAAGAGCCCAATGCAGTGACCGTCTTTGTTTAACGGATATCCAAAAGCTGCTGCGAGGATGACCGTCCGCCTTTTGGCGTCCTCTGGTCGAGCACCAATTGGGTCGAGGCTCAAAAGAAAGCCGTCCCTTGATGTGGACCAAAGACAATGCATATATTATCTTAGTATGTTTTTTGTTTGCATTTTGACTGCAAGTATTGTGGTTAATGCAGACATGAATCCTTTAAAAAAAGGTTTCAGTTTTGTTGCTAGAAAAAATGGGAAAAACCCTATTATTATTGGGATGACCGGAGTTTGTGCGATGGTTTATGCTCCTTAACGAGATCAGCAACGTATTGTGGTTCTTTCGTGGCAAGCACTTTGTGTGTAATGAGTGCGACCTTATAATGTATTCATTCAACAACCGGAAGCCAATGCAGCTTAGTGAGCACTGGACGGACATGGTTGGATCTTGCAGTACCCATCACGACACGTGCCAAAGAACTTTGTACACGCAGACGTCCCGTAGAGTAGTAAGTTGCAATAATCGAGATGTTGTGTAAAGCCGCATTTATTTTCTGTTGTAGGATTGTGAAGACGTGCGTGCGCGCGGGGGCTCCCTGCTTCGAGGTGGAGTGGGAGAAGCCAGGTGAGCACTCGCTGAGGGTGGCACTTACTGAGGGCAAGAATAAGTTGGGGGGCAACACGAGGGCTGTGCATCACTGGGGGCAGCACGCGATGAGAGCAACAACAACCGCCGTTCACCGCTAAGTGGCGCTGACGTCACCACGGCGTTTGTACCAGGCTAGGTGCACCTTGAGGCCACATGAAGTGTCGAAGAACCGCTGGCAGAAGGTCAAGGGACAGATGCAGGTGCCATGGGTTGGCGTACTGGGAAGGCTGGCAATGACAGCGGCACATCACACACACCCAGCTCGTGGAGACCTACGTTGGCACTGAGTGTCCAAGTCTGCCTCAGCATTTTCTCTCCCAGGACGTCTTTTTGTTAAAGCATGTATTTGAATTAGCTTTGACATGTAATAGTTTTAAAGCCATAATGTCAGCTGGGACACTCCATCCGACAAGCTCTTAAACAAATGCCAATCGTCCCTCTCCATTATAACTGCTTGCCCTGTGACTATTATCGGAAAGGCAGCCACTTTTTAGAATGATGGAGTTCTACACTTTCCATCTCACCTAAGGCTAACAGTGTATTTATTTCCGTCAATCTGTCTCCAGTTCAGCAGAACTCGATCCTTGTATGTATGATGTTCGTACTTTACCGCACACAGCAAGGCCTGTGTGCACCAAACTCTGCTAACACGGCGACGCGAACTGTAGCCGTGGTGCAGGACAGACGATGATGCTGCACACGGTCGAAGACCGGCCGCCAACCAACCTGTGATCTTCAGGACGACGCTGCATTCTGCAAATGATGAAGCCGTTGCCTGGCGTGGCGGAACACACACGCTGATAAACAATAATAATAATATGGATTTGTAATGTGCATTTTAGCACACGTGCACGTATTTAAAATGAGAAATACTTGTGTTGGGAGCAGAGCCGACACCTTTGTGCGTGCGTGTGTTGGCATGAGCGGCAGTGTAGCAGTTAGCGCACTGCGCTACGAATTCGGTAATCCAAGTTTGACTCTTGCTCACAACCAACACCAATGATGATTATCTGAATCGATCGTGGGCTTCCCTAGGTGGACTCGACCTGAAATAATTACCTGGTGCGATTTGTAAAGATCGCCACTAGGGAGACAAAAGTGGCTGTGCGTGATTCTAGCCACACTACACACCTGTGTGCCGTTCTGGCCTTCATGGGTGTTGCTCGCTAACAGCCTTGCCCAAACAGCACGGTTTGTTATGTACGGTGTGAAAGAAGTTCCACATACGTACATACATACAAGGATACACGGGGGGTCTTTGTCTCTGTTGGCATGAGCAGATGGGTTTGTGAGTGAGGCGGGTAAGGCGGCCGAGTCTCTGGTGACGGTGGAGCGGCGCGACCTCGTGCTCGCTGCTCTCCCTCCGCTCGTCGCTGAGTTCCAGGAGAAGCTTGACCGAGCCCAGGAGGAGAAACGGAGAGCAAAAGCCAACGGTGCGACACGGCACCGCCACGCGCGCGCCACGACTCGCCCCCCGGCGTCATTGATTTCACCTCGACGGCCAATAGGGCTGCGGCGTATATTGTGGGACGCGGGATATCGTCAGGTTTCACGCGCACGCTACCGCGGCGCTTGGTTGAACGCAGAGGGCAGTGCAGGAAATCCCATTGTACCGCGCTACGCACCCGTGTCTGTGCTCTTCGCCCACACGGACCATTGTGGTGAAGTATGGTCAAATAACCCCCGCGACCTGCGCGATGGGTGGCTCTAATCCAGCAGTGGATTGACCGAAGGACTGAATGTGCATATGGCATATCAAATAATACAGCCGCTGGATTTGCGTAGGCAGATTGCAATGCCCTGGCTTAATATCAACCAGGTTTGCCTGGGTCAGTGACTCATAAAATATAAAATATTTATCTACCCAACACACCACGTCCAGTATGTCTGTGGCTACTATTCAGGTGCCTACTGCAGTCTGCCAGCGACCTGGAATATATTCGGTGAGATATTAAGCCGCGGTTATATACCTTATAGCACAGTGACAGCGAGTAGGGCACGGCCCGTGTGATGTGCGTCAGTGTTGTGCATCGTTCAGGGAGCGGTAGTGCAGTGCTTAGCACACTGTGCTACGAACACGGCGACCCGAGTTCAATTCCCGCTCACGACCAATAACAGTGGAGAATATCTGAACCGGTCCTGGGCCTCACCTAGGTCAACTCTGCCTTAAATGAGTACGGAATCTGGTGCGGTGTGTAAAACATGAGCACTGGGGAGACAAAGGCAACAGCGGGTATGGTGTTGACCACCCACCCCCTCGTGCGCCACGCCGACCATAATAGGTGCTCGCTAATATAACTTGCCCCAACAGTCTGTTAAAGGCTATACGCTGCATCTTTGTCTTTGGTGGGCATTGTGTCCTGAAGGGAGGAAACGTGGCGGAGTGAAGCCCGCGCCTTTGCCGGCCCTGCAGGCCGGACCCCCGGGCGACGACAGCACTCCTCACGGTGACGGGGAGCAGCTGACCGCACATCATCACGATCCTTGCCATCCTCACCGCCCAACGCCCACATCGCACCATCGTCCTGCAGAAGGCGGCGACTTCTCAGGAGCAGCCAGTGCAAGGCCCGGCACTCTGGCCTTGGTCGAAGAACTCGGCGCGGCAAGAAGAAACGTCGTCGGTGCTCACAATTCCCTCAACGCGGACGTTCTTTTGCCCGCGGTGAAATGCGTGGATGGGGGATACGGACAGCAGCAGCAGTTGGAGACATCAACAGAGTACAGCACTCAAAGACACGACGGCTGCAGGAGGAATGGCGCCACCCAGAGTCTGGATACTCCAATGCGGACGAGCGACGGTGGCGGCTTTGGCAACGGTGGCGTTGGCGGGGCCACGTGCGGCATCGCGAGGCTGCACTCCCTGCTCGAGGAGCTGCACCTGAGCGACGTCGAATGGAGCAGCAGTTCTATGTGCCCCACCCCGCCGGCGACGCAGCCCCTGCCCGCGGTGCGGAACGAGGGCCCCCCGCTGCCCCGCGGGGTTCTCGACGAAGGCCTTGACGAGGAGGGCCCTTGCCCAGAAACTCCAACGGGAGCCGCGACAGTGCGGCTGGGAGTGGCTTCTCAGCGCTGCGGCAGCAGCACTCCTCAATTCACGACGAGTACTGCAAGCTGCTCCGCACAACAACGTGGCGGTGATAGAAGCAGTGATCCTGACAGAGTTGGGAGTGAGCAGCATGTTGTGCCAGGTGCATCATGCAGTAGTGGAATTCCCCATATAAGCGTAGCCAGCGAGGTTCGTTCTAAATGTCGCGTGGCTGAAATTCGAGCCTCCAAAGTTGACGTTAAGGTTTATACACCCAGTCCCACCCAGCTGTCGCTACGGGACAGAGTCTTGCTCAAAATCTTCATGGAGAAGAATCAATTGGTGAGGTCGGGCACATCTCCCAAGCCTTCCCAGAGCTCTGTTGAGTTTATGTATTCCCTGAAATGTAAATCTCCCCACGGTTCACAACTCCAGGCTTCCCACCCCCCAATTGCGGGCCAGAATAAGGCAGCTTCTGCTTCTGCAAACGAGTTAGGCACTGTTAAAAGTATTGGCATCAGGCGCGAGAATACACAAACACCTCCTGACACACTACGCAAAACAGTTGAAACACATTCTGAGCATGACGCAAAGCCAGGAGTCGGGGCTGGTGCTAATCTGAGGCGTGTGTTGATCGGCAAGGGAGCGAGACATGCTGCGGAGGCGCCGGTTGACCTAAGCGACAGTGAGCTGGATCTACTGGTGGCTGAGAAGATTAAATCGCTCACTGGGAAGATGCGTTCTCACTCCGATTCGGCGGTCAAGCATCATCGAACGAATGCTTCTCGGAAACCATGCGGAGTGAGCGCTGCTCGCCATGCCAGCGACAGTGGTGCCGTGGACTCTGAGCGTGTGGCGGCACGAGCCAGGGAACGGTCTCGGAGGGTATTCCAGTGTTCGTCCTCCTCGGACGAGGTCAGTGATTTGGAAGAAATGGTAGAAATGAGAGGTTACGGTGTCACCAAGTCGAAAAGCCAACGTCTGCCGAGCGATTCGCAGAAAAATCCCATGGGCCGTCCTGTGCGTAACACGAGTTTTAAAAGCGTGGCACAATCCGCAACGCACGGAAGTTTTGCTACGAGTCGTGGAGGAATCGGGGTCGCTCATGACGTCAGTCATCCATCTGCCGGACTCAGTAATACGGTGATGCCTGCGTCACCAATTGCTGAGCATTGCAAGCAGAAAGCTGTTGCGTCCTGTGATCCCGGAGCCCACCCGGAACGGGTGCCGGCAACAACGAGTCCCGGCCCCAATCATCATCCACCCCATGACATCTCTCCATGGGCATCACCTACTGAAGCTGGAGGCATTCTCCACCCAGCGACAGGAGACGATGACGACGATGAGGGACCTTCCTGTGCCCCAAGCGACGGTGGTGGCAAAGCGGGGAGCCTCTGGCCAGAGGGAAACCTGAACGGTGTTTTTATCGATGTAACTGATAATACAATTTCCACAGACACTTCAGATGAGAATGGGTATCTGCAACGAGCTCATGGCCAACAGTGGAACACGTGCAGCTCTGGATCCCGTGCGCCTGTGGACCCCGATGTGGTCTTTGACAACTCGTCATCATGTATAGAGAACACCGATCTGATCGCGAACGGCCCTAAACAGATTAATTTATGTAAACGCAATACTGACATCTCCAAAATAGGCCGTCTTGGTTCGAAATTAGCCTCAGAAATCGGTGCCCCCCGTACACTTATGTTGGGAGCCCGGTTTGCCGATGTGAAACCCAAGCAGGCTCCAGTAAAGTGTCTGGGCCCAGACAGAAAGCCGGTGATAGGTATCGACATGAGGGGACAGACCCAGGGCGGGACAGCGGCGGTGGCAGTGGTGCAGGGAAGAACAGGAGACCGCGTGAGCTCCGTGGCCTCACAGAGGGGGGCGGCGCAGACGAGGCGTGGGGAGGTGAGAGGGGACCCGAGGGTAGGGCCCCAGGAGCGGCGGGCAGCCCGGGAGAGGGTGGTAGTAGAACCGGAGAAGGTGATCGTGATTAGCGACGGCTCGGACGTCTCCCTTACGGAGAGCCCGCAGCCACTGGCTCAGCGCGTGGCGCTACGGCTCCGGGTGCCGTAAAGACTCGAACGGCCGGAGTGTTTTAAATGATGCTGTACCTTTGGATAAAGAGTCGGTTTGTCGGTGAAATTTCTAGTCAGGCCCCTCGTACCCGTGATATGTAGTCTTGAATTGTGCCATAGGTCGGTCTTTTTATTCCTGTTTTTTTTTTTCCTACAATGTTGCTGTATAATGAGACATATCTTGAGATGTTGTAACATTAGGTGGAGAATCAATGCAGAGACCTCGCAAAGCAGTGCAACCCCTTTGTGTTAGAGAAACGGCCCACAGAACCGGATATCATATAACGAACGCTGAGATCCCTTCACGTGACCGCTGGTCCGCGTAATAGGGGGCAGCACTTTCCCACCCGCTCTGCCACTGACAGTAGTATTCATCACATGCAAGTCAAACGGATGTTTTTAATGCCTAGACATGTATATTGAACTTCACCTTACGTCGCGAACCTTGCTAATCGTAGGTGCAGTTAAACCTGATTTATTGTTCCACGCAATTCCAATGAAGTCATTTGCAGGCATTTATTTTTGCATTGGGGAGTTTGGCCAAGACCAGAGAACCCAGAGACGATCCATGCAGAACATGGGGAAGAACATACAAACTCCACACAGGAAGGTGCCCAATTTGTAAATCAAACCCAGGCCATTCTTGCTGTAATGTCTTCCCCGAGTCTGGGTGATCAAAGTCATAATGGCTGTGTCACTGGGTCAGCAATGGTTAAGTGCTGGATTCTATCCCTAATTCTAGGTGACTTAAGTTGCTCAGAATGACCCTGTCAGAACAAAATCCAACACAAGTGTTGGGTTCAAATCCTGGCTCTGGGGTGTCTTAATACGGTAGATATATAATGGCCACGTCGGATGCCGAGCCTCCACTGATCAAGGGCCGAGTTTCAAGTCGTGAGTCTGGGTGTATCAACAAGTTCACAATGGCCATATCTTGAGAGACTGAACTCGCAACCACAATTTGCCCACGGTGGTGGCGCATGCCTGTAATCCAAGGGTTGGTGGATCCAGTGCCGGATTAGGCTAGTGCGGGGCCTGTAGTATATGTTATGAAGGGGCCCTAAATTAAAAAAACACACGGAAATATTAAAACACATACATTTTTTACTTGCATAGTAAATTGTATTTTTTCATTTGCGATACAGCCAGATAATACGACAAATCGCTAACATTAAACACCCCGTCGTTTATAAAAGTTGAAGGCGGTATAGTACTATAGTAATAGAGCAAGGGCAGAATCACTGAACCGGAATTGACAACTTGAAAGGATTTAGCGCGGGGCCCTTGAAAGTGCGGGGCCTGTAGCATTATGTAGCTACTTTTGCTACTGGGATAATCCGGCACTGGGTGGATCACGCAGCTGCTGTGAAAATCGCTACCAGTGGGTGTCGGGGAGCTTCCGTAGTACCTTGGCCTTCCAACAGGAGGTTACAGATCAATGTGGACTAATCCCAAATTGGGATACAGTGTTGCTTCCTCACATGCGTGGTTTTCTCGATTTCACCTTAATATATGGAGGACCGCAGAGCTTTGGCAGGAATTTGCTGCCCTCCGGTCGCCTGTGTTTTCTCCTCGCATCTCTGAGTCGTCCTCTCTTCGTTACGAGTTGAAATTATTATATGGTATTTATATTGCCTCGTGAATGCTAATGCTAAAAAAATAAAACATTAACAAGTCACATGGTAAGTGATTGTTTTGAATCACTATGCAACAGCTGTTAATGCAATCTTCGGCGAGATTTGATAAACGTTAATGTTTTACTCATTAAGGCTAATTAAGACAAGAATAATGATTTTAAAATCACTTACCATTCACACTAATGATGAGTAAGTTATATTCAATGGCAGTCGACCTCCAGGCTGAGCCTGGAACGTGCTGCAATGGGCGACCATCCGGCACCACAGGTGCTATAGGCTGTGCTGGGGGCTACGCTGCGGAGAGTTCAGCAAGTTTCATTGTTGTACTGCACTATGCCCCCTCGGTCCATGCTCCCCAACTTTTCCAACAATGTGTAATAAGAGCCTATGTCCGGCTCACGTGGTGATCGGCTCTGCCGGTCCTACTTTACAGCCAATGGGGGGAGAGCCTGGGAGCATGGCCCTGGCGTGATCAAGGGGTGCCAGCTAGGGTGATTGGTTCTGCTGGTCTTGGCCTCAGCCAATGGGAAGACAAGTCAGGGGCGTGGTCCCGGGAGTTGATGGGGAATCTAGAAGATTCAGCGCTGGCTACCAAGGATTGGCTGGAGCGTACCACGTGGCCCAGGCATTAAATAAGGTGAGAGATGAACGACACGTGGTCAGACGAAGAACAAAGGAAGAGAGAGGCCACGCGCGAGCGGGACTCCGAGTGCCACGTGGCGGTGCGTCTCTTGTGGTCTGTCTGCCCACTTCCCGTTGCCTGCCAGCAGCGGAGAGTACTTGTGAATTGGAATAAATAAAAGGACCGATTCCACAAGTCGTCTCCAAGAGTATTATTACGAATGTACTGACCAGCGTGAAGTATGGTCAAACAACCCTCACAACCGGCATGGCGTAAGGAGGGCCCGTATCATCCAGCAGTGGATTGACAGTGATGTGCGTGTGTATGCCCTTGCATCCCATGTGTGTGTTCAGTTATGGATGTAGAGTAAGTATGAATAATAATAGGAAGTCCCTCAGAGGTGCATTCGCTTGGCGGGAATCCACTCGTGCCGCGCGATAACAAGGGGGAGCTGTCGTTTCGTTACATACAAAAATCATCTTCTTGGTTCTTTCGGTAAAGTCACGTAGAAGGGAAGTAATAAAATAATAAAAATAAAACATAATAAAATAATTCTCACGACGTTTCGGCCACAACGCAAGCAGCCGTCCTCAGGTGAAGAATGAAACACCACCAAGCTTGGAGCGTATATTTATGCTGGGTTGGAGGGGGGGAGGTGGGAAGAAGAGCGCCTAGACAAAATAATTAGCATATCAAGAGGAATTTAGCATATGAAAAATGCGTGGGAGGTGGGCGGGGGGGTTTCAAATTAATATTATGCCCGTGCATTATGCAGGATTAGCAGCATCAAAGGGAGGGGGAAGGGGGGTAGCATTAACAAAGGAAAGGAATGTTAATAGTATGTAGCTGCAGTTGCTAAACAACTACGTAAAAAACTAAAGGATAAACTACATAAACAACTAAAGTATAAACTACATAGCATCATCAGTATACTTACTATACTCTACAATAAGCTGAGTTACTAACAGTAAGTAATACATTACAATTCTACGTCGTAAAAATTATATAATATGCTTCCATCTAAACTTTGTTCTCTTACATCACACGAGTCTACACCGTACTATATACTGCCATAGACAAACCCAACATTAAATTATATACTGTATTGCTATAAACCACCCTATACCTTATACATTTTAATATAACACTATGTATTATTCTACCCACCCTAATGTGTATCACACTGCTATATGTTTACTATACAATTACGATACTATATATTACTTAGTACATTGTATTAAGCATATGAATGTTATACTATTTGTTATTATACACTGTACCATTGACCGTCGTGTCAATGGGTGAGTCGTGGGGGGAAACTTGCAGCGGAGCAAAGAATACATTCCCTGCGGAGAATACAATGCCAGTGAGTGGAACACGGTCTGAAAGTCACCGTAAACGTGAACACAATCAGTTAAGATCCGAAATGGTTTATTACATCCAATGCCTTTCAAGACCATCACCTTACCCTACATTGCTGGGGTCACAAAAAAGATCTCCAAAATCCTGATTAAACACAAGATCCAGGTCCGATTCAACACAGTACATAAAATCCGTGATCTGGTCCCGTCTGTAAAAGATGTGGTTCCAGACATACAGTACCCTGGCGTCTACAAACTAAGTTGCCTCTGTGGTAGCAGTTACATTGGAGAAACCAAACGACATGTCTCGGACCGCATCCGTGAACATAAAGCAGACCTGAAACACGGTAGGACAAACACCTCAGGCGTGGCAGACCACTGTTACAACTCAGTGGGCTCACATGACATTGACTTCTCCAAGACAGAGGTTCTCTGCAAGCTATCTGGCTATCATGAGAGATTCGTTCATGAGGCGATCCACATATACAAACAAAGAGACAATTTCAACCGAGAAGATGGATTCTGGCTTAGCAATCATTGGAAGGACGTAATACACCATTTCGGATCTTAACTAATTGTGTTCACGTTTACGGTGACTTTCAGACCGCGTTTCACTCACTGGCATTGTATTCTCCGCAGGGAATGTATTCTTTGCTCCGCTGCAAGTTTCCCCCCACGACTCACCCATTGACACGACGGTCAATGGTACAGTGTATAATAACAAATAGTATAACATTTGTATGCTTAATACAATGTACAAAGTAATATATAGTATCGTAATTGTATAGTAAACATATAGCAGTGTGATACACATTAGGGTTGGTAGAATAATACATAGTGTTATATTAAAATGTATAAGGTATAGGGTGGTTTATAGCAATACAGTATATAATTTAATGTTGGGTTTGTCTATGGCAGTATATAGTACGGTGTAGACTCGTGTGATGTAAGAGAACAAAGTTTAGATGGAAGCATATTATATAATTTTTACGACGTAGAATTGTAATGTATTACTTACTGTTAGTAACTCAGCTTATTGTAGAGTATAGTAAGTATACTGATGATGCTATGTAGTTTATACTTTAGTTGTTTATGTAGTTTATACTTTCGTTTTTTACGTGGTTGTTTAGCAACTGCAGCTACATACTATTAACATTCCTCTCCTTTGTTAATGCTGCTAATCCTGCATAATGCACGGGCATAATATTAATTTGAAACCCCCCCCGCCCACCTCCTACGCATTTTCCATATGCAAAATTCTTCTTGATATGCAAATTATTTTGTCTAGGCGCTCTTCTTCCCACCTCCCCCCCTCCAACCCAGCTTAAATATACGCTCCAAGCTTGGTGGTGTTTCATTCTTCACCTGAGGACGGCTGCTTGCGTTGTAGCCGAAACATCGTGAGAATTATTTTATTATGTTTTATTTTTATTATTTTATTACTTCCCTTCTACGTGACTTTACCGAAAGAACCAAGAAGATGAATCCCTGCAGTCACGAAAGCTTTAAATCGAAATACAAAAATCAGTTGCGTTTTACATTTGAGATTCATGCAAAATACAGGGTGCTTAAAAAAAATGGTAACACTTAGATTCCAAATGGGACTATCGTTTTTGATGTGTAGTGAGTCCAACTGAGTGGCAGACGTTCTTTAGAGGCAACACATTTATTTGTAACATTAACACGTAACACAAAGGGGTAACTGCCCCTTCACCAGATACAGCCTAGGGTGGTGGCCACCCAGCTAACTACACTATGCGGAGGAGTTACAGCGACAAAGGGTTTCACCCTCACTCGGGTCCCGACCACGTGTTGATGCCTGTAGAGCTTCAGCTTGTAGAATGCAGCGACCCCGTCCCTCTCAGGGACCCACCTTATATCCTCCCGGGTCGGGGCTGCTCCGCCCTTGGCCCCGCCCACCTCGAGCGTTCTAGCGCTCTCTCTCTCTCGAGAGAGAGAGAGCTCTCCCCGGACACGTGATCACCCCCTAGCCCCCCCCCCCCCACCTGGGGGCCTCTCTGTGGACACTCCGGATCACGTGTCTACGGGGTCAACCAGTGTGCCATGACCCGGGGCAACCCTGGCCCTGGGCTGACACTCTCCCACTCCCCCTTGTGGAAGCCTGCACTACACGCTGTGCGTGGTGCCTGCGCTATCCCAGCGCACACCAAGCCCCGCTGGGGCGGGTGCTACGCCTGTCTACGGGGTGTACCCGATGACAGTGCATCGCGCGCCATGGCCCTCTCGGGCCGGCACCATACAGTGACATCCCTGATGTCACTACAGATGGATAAAAGAACGGATAATGCACTGTAACATGATAACAAATGTATGTTAATAGCTTCAAAAATTCAGAGTCTCCACTTGTTCGCCATCATTGTCAACGCATAGCTGGAATCTTCCCCAGGTGGTCTCCAGAGCCTGGAGGCACATTTCTTCTGGTTTTGTTGCAAATTTCTCTGAAGTGTTAACATTTTTTTAGAGCATCCTGTATTAGCTAAACATCGCAACACTGCCAACAAAAAAATGTCCTTGCAAATCGCTCGCCAGGAATCACAGCAGCAATAGCAACCGCAGCATCGCCCTCCATCACCTACTGCGATGATAACTCGGCAGGACCCTCCTGAGAGGAGAGGAGAGCCTTGGGACTCCGTGAGCCTTTCCCCGGGGTACACAAAGCTGCGTTCCGCCTGTAGCCGCGGTGGAATCCGCGGTCCGTGCGCGGCTTGTTTTGGTCTGATAAACTTCTTCGTAAAGGGGATTTGTACACGCAATACGTTCGTGATACTTGATTGATGTTGGGAGTTCTTGTTGTATGTATGTATGTTGAACTTCTTTCGCACCGTACGCAGCCAACCGTGCTAATCGGAGGTGCGGGGACATGGGGGCAGGAGATACGGAGGGGGCATGGGGGCAGGAGATACGGGGACAGGGAGTCTTTCACAAATACAATTATAATTCTCATTCCCCACATCACTTTTATATAGTTGCTGCCCAAAACGTAATGCGGCCAGCAACAAACAGCACAATAAAAGTTGTAATTGACACGATACAACGTGTGTCTTTGGATAAGAAGCGATGAAAGGGAATTCCCCAGTGGAGCAGTGAGGTTCAAGCAGGAAGAGAAGTGAGGTGATCTCCAGTGTGGTGAGTAGGTGAGTGTGTTGTTGTGACCTGCAGTGTGGTGAGTGGGTGGGTGTGTTGTTGTGACCTGCAGTGTGGTGAGTGGGTGGGTGAGTGTTGTGACCTGCAATGTGGTGAGTGGGTGAGTGGGTGGGTGTGTTGTTTTGACCTGCAGTGTGGTGAGTGGGAGGTGAGTGTTGTTGCGATCTGCAGTGTGGTGAGTGGGTGGGTGTGTTGTTGTGACCTGCAGTGTGGTGAGTGGGTGGGTGAGTGTTGTTGTGACCTGCAATGTGGTGAGTGGGTGAGTGGGTGGGTGTGTTGTTTTGACCTGCAGTGTGGTGAGTGGGAGGTGAGTGTTGTTGCGATCTGCAGTGTGGTGAGTGGGTGAGTTGTTGTGACCTGCAGTGTAGTGAGTGGGTGGGTGAGTTGTTGTGACCTGCAGTGTGGTGAGTGGGTGGGTGAGTATTGTTGTGACCTGCATCGTGGTGAGTGGGTGAGTGTGTTGTGACCTGCAGTGTGGTGAGTTGGTGAGTGTGTTGTGACCTGCATCGTGGTGAGTCGGTGAGCGAGTGTTGTGACCTGCAGAGTGGTGAATGAGTGGGTAGACCAAGTCCTCAACACGGCTGATGGAATCGACGAGTGATTCCAAGGGAACGGTAATTAACAAGTGATGATCAATTGAAAAACATACCAAGCACCCGGAGAGAACCCACGCGTGAGAGGGAGCTACCTTGTATCCCGTACAAATGGAATAGTGGAGAGATTCATCCACAATTTGTGCTCCGCCGGCTTCTCCTGGCACGCCAGGGTATGGCTACCTCCTCGATGCCCACACGTGGCAGGGAGTTTCACGACATTGCTGTGATCCACCAAGCCTCGCTGCTGCCTCCACATCGCTGAACTGCTCCAGTCGCGTGGCCAACACCGCTATTGCTGAGCGGAGGCTGGGCATATTCCCTATGGCGTGAGAGGACTATTTGTCTTCTCGCTTTCGGCCTTCAGAAGCGCCAGGCTTGATATGAAACGATCGCGTCATTATTTGCCCTAATGCACGAATGAGTGATTAGCTCGAAAGAATGAGTTATTGGCTGGAGTGAACGGGTGAGTTCCTGACGTGAATGCTCATTTGGCTGGAACAAATGAGTTGTTTGACACAAGTGAATAAACTAAGCAATGTTTTACTTTACCAGGTAAGGTTCACAAAGCTATGCAGCTCTTGATTCAAAAGCTCAACGAAGTGGCTTATCGCGTGGGCATTCATATCAGCCAAATACTGTTTCTAAATGTGGAGGGGGAAACCGGAGGACCCGGAGAAAAATCCACGCAAACTCCAAATACAGGAATTCCTCAATATACGAACATTCGATTTACGAACTTTCAGAGATACGAACAAATCTGGTCCGTATGTCCGGCTGCCTGTTTGGACCGAGAGTTGTAAGCTCATTCGCCGCGCAATAGATGGCGGTGGTGGCATCTACATCTGCAGAATGTGTTGAACCAGTGGCATCTTTCATCTACAGAACATAAATAACCAGTGGCATCCATATCTACTGGTGGTTATACAACTTTTAAAGCCATTCCCCGTGTTTAGTGTTCACGCCGTACAACACGTTTGGAATCGACAGGAGTTCAAAGTTGGACAAATCGACTTACGAACAGACCTCTGGAACCTAACTCGTTCGTAAGTAGAGTCCCTTTCCACAGGCGTAATAGTAGGGGTCAAACCCGCGATCTTAATGACACCAGGCGAGGTAGTTCACATCTCTCCCCACCGTGGTGTTAATGCGTTACCGATGCGAATGAATTACGGGAATGACTTCATTACTGGCGGAGAATTAGCGAAGTTCCTTGACATCGTGAAAAAGTTATTGAAACGATGGAATAGAAAAATTAACGAGTCACGTGACAGGACTCGCAGGCCCCGCCCACCGCTCTCAGGTCCCGCCCCTCCACTCTCGCGCATGCGCAGTCGCGGCGGACGCGGTGCTCGAACCTTTGAGAGGCGAGGGGGATTTGAGACCCCCCCCGCCCGCGTCAGAGGCGAGGGGAGACCCCGGAGAGACCCCCAGCGTGAGAGGAGAGACCCCCAGCGTGAGAGAGAAGACCCCGGCGAGGGAGGAGAGACCCCGGCGAGACCCTGGCGAGACCCCCAGCGTGAGAGAAGACCCCGCGCCGAGCGGTGAGTACATCCACAGCGAGGCTCTGCGGTGGCGGTGTGGTGGTGGTGGTGTGTGTTGTGTTGTGTGTTGTGGGTGAGTGGTTGTATTGTGCTTGCAGTATGGAGGAGGCTCGTGAAGGACCCTGCTACTGGGGCAGTTTGAGGCAACAATGGAACGCGGAGGAGCGACGCTCACAACAACGAGCGGAGCTTGCCGGGCGGATAAAATGTGTCAAGTTGACTAAGTAGTGGGGTCCAGCTGGTGTGGATCTGCCGGTCATTTCAGTCGGTCAACCCATGGCACCTGCTGGGTCAGTCCCGAGACCTTCCTGTCAGCGAGCTTTCGATACTTGACGTGGCCTAAAAGGGCACCTGGCCTGGCACAGGCGTCGTGGTGACATCACCGTCAGTTAGTGGCGAATGGCTGTTGCTGTTATTGTGGTGTGGGGTGTATGGTTGTAGTGTGGTGTGTGTCTGGTTGTAGGGTAGTGGTTGTGGTTGTAGTGTGGTGTGTGTGTTGTGTGGTTGTAGTGTGGTGTGTGTCTGGTTGTAGGGTAGTGGTTGTGGTTGTAGTGTGGTGTGTGTGTTGTGTGGTTGTAGTGTGGTGTGTGTCTGGTTGTAGGGTAGTGGTTGTGTGTGGTGAGTGTGGTTGTAGTGTGTTTTAGATAAAACGGTAAAAACCTATTACTATATTTTGCCACTGGTAAAGGAGGTCTCATAATGTAAATGCTTACCCCGAGCTCTCAATACTCTGATAGTGTGCTGTCTTTGAGTTGTACGCCTTTTGGCGTCATCTGGTCCAACACCAATGGAGACTAGGCTCTAAGAAAAGCTGTCTCGGGTGTGGACCAATCAACTTCAAGGACAGTGCATATCATTATCAGAGTTGTTTCTTTTTGTTTGCATTTTGACTGCTGATGGATTGGTGTTGAGAGAGTGGAGTAGTTTCCATACCTGACCAACTCCGGTTTGGCAGCGGTCTCCAAAATCAGTCGAGCGGCGTTATCTGTTTGTCAGCTGCGTATACCCGGTCTGTCACTCCAATACGAAGCCGCAGGTCTTCTCGGCTAAAGTTTATTCCCTTCCTCTCCCTCTATGCTTGGGAAACGTGGACCCCCCCCCCCCTCCCCCCCACTGAAGGAACATTTGCCCCGTTTTGGAACATTCAGACTGGCCTGCCAATGATCCCTTCTGGGCTTAACTAGGCTGGAATGTGTGAGGAGCTCGCAGATCCTTAAAAGTTCTGGACGCAGTCCCATCGGTGAGCTCCTCCAGCAGGCGAGGCTGCGTTGGCTGGTGTCACGTAGCCCACATGCCCAGCCACCGCATGCCCAAGCAGCTTCTGTTTGGCCGGATAGAGGGGGCTAAATTGGCGCGGCACGGGCCATGATGCGGTACCGGAGGATGTGGAGCTGATTGGACTTGGCGTTGACTGGTACCAGGGGTGTCAAGATCGGCCTCTATGAAGGAGGCCCGTGAAGGACGCTGCTACTTGGGCAGTTGGAGGCAGTCGCCCTCCAACAACAGAGGAGCGATGCTCGCAACGAGCGGAGCGCCATGCGGCTTAAACACTGCGAGTTGGCACAGCGGGGGGGGGGGGGGGGGGGCACAGGTGGTGCATCCGTCAGTCATCTTAGTTAAACCCCGAAACTCGTGGGTCTGACTCGTGACCTGCCTTTGACGCTTCGCGCAGCGTCAAGGGTACACCTAGACTGGCACAAGCACCGTGATGACATCACCGCGACATAGCTAAGCGGGGCCGAGACGTGCGGTCTATTCCGCATTGGCGGCCCCAGCTTGGTCCTCCTGGCCGGGTGGTGAGTGGCTGGAGAAGCGCACACCGCACTCCCCGCGCGCTGGACGGGACAGGTCATTGGCCTGGCAGACGAGACGGCGCGAGAAAATCCGGCCAGACGTGTTTGACCCGCTTCTACTGCTGCTGCTACTGCAGCTGTAGCAGCAGCACCTGGTGCAGCAGCGGTAGCTATAGCAGCTGCAGCAACTGTAGGGGCGGCTGTAGCAGTAGCAGCATCTGTAGCACCCGCAGAATCTGTAGCACCCGCAGAATCTGTAGCAGCAGCAGAATATGTATCAGCAGCAGCATCTATAACAGCAGCAACAGCTGTAGCAGAAACAGCATCTGTAACAGCAACAGCATCTGTAACAGCAGCAACAGCTGTAGCAGCAACAGCTGTAGCAGCAGCGGCTGTGGTTCTTGGCCAAGGTGAGCGCAGGGCCTCGGCACGGGAGCAGCCTCGTGCGTGAGAGCCCCCAGTGGGGAAGCGTGCGTAACCTTGAACTGGCACCCAATCGCTTATAAGAAAACAATTGGGTCAAAAAAAAGTGGTAAAACTATATATATAGGTTGTCAAGTGGGGATCGGCATTGCGGTGAAAGTTTTTTAAAACTGTAGCACAATGGATTTGATATGTAACAATATTTTTTACATATCCCATTGGCCACACAGCGTTCTTTCTGTGAGTGCAACATATCTACAGCAGGCATTGGTTATAACAAAACTGTGGGCCAGTTTCGGCACTTACTGTCTCATCAGCAGAGTTTGGCAAGGCGGACTGCTGAAATCGGTAGCGTTGGCAAAGCTTGGCATCGAGTTCATCGCGGTGCAAACGTGGAGGAGAGGAGTTGTCGGAAGCGGGAACTCAGGGCAACGGCTGCGTCGCCTGTGCCATGGCGACCCGGCAGCCCGCTCCCTCGGTTGTTCGACTTATTTCACACCGTACATAGCCAACCATAGTTGTGAGTGCATGCACAGAGAGGTATTCACGGCATTTACGCCACGCTCGGTTTGGTGCTGCCAAGCAAACGGAAATTTTCAGCTCTTGACGTTCGTCCCGTTGATCGTGGGCGCAATCCAACGAGAAAATAACTCGTGGTCGCCAACACTGCATTGCTCCGCTGTTTAAAGGACTGCTTTGTAATTAAGACGGTTCTTAAACAACGTGGGACTTGTACCGGTTTGCTTGGCCCGTTCCTGTCCCAAGAGTCTGTTGACTCTTTTTTGACGAGAGAGTCCTGTGCTCTGGTGTTTGTCCTGTTTCATATTCTTAGGTTTTTTCGGCAAAGTCACGTAGGTAAAAAAAAAATTGTCCTGTTTGTTTATGAGTGAATTGACGCGGGGCGGTGTTGCTGTGAGTGGACACAGAAGGGTAAGGAGTCCAGCTCCTGTTTGACCGTCTCCTGGCGCCTCGCCTCCCTCTGGGTTTGGAGTCTCACGGCCAGAATGTAATTTTCAGCTGGCTCTTTCCAGAAAGTATTTCCACACCCGGCACACTGCATCCTGTAAACTTCGCGATTTGACTCTCCCTAGACGGTGCAAATCAATTGCGATCTCGCGGTCGACCAGCGACCCGTAAAATATTCAATGAGAAATCCAGGCCGGCTTAAGAGCACGGTAATCTGTGTGTGATCCACCAACCCAGCCTCTCAAGACACCAGGATTGCAAGCATGTGTGTGCCGTCACACCGCTGCCCTCATCCAGCAGCAGATCGACACGATGTACATTTACAGGCAATGCAACGTTTTACCCGCTCAGGAAGAAAGCCACACCGGTTAATGTGAGGAGGGCGATACTTTGGTTATAAGCTAAGTCTATTTACTCTGCGTCTCCAGGGAGACCAGTGAGCCCCGCAAATGAGGAGACGTCACTGAACCACCACGAGATTACCACGATGGAAACCTCCTTGCCGGCACCTCGTCGACCGTAGGTGGGTGCCTTGCTCGCGCTGTGGCTCCTCATCACACGAGCGCGCGCGGAGAGAAAATGGTGCTCTTGAGTCTTTGTTCAGTTTTTCTCCACGAGCGCTGCCGGTGGAGAGATCGGCCGCGCCATGCGCACGCGTTCCACCGATGGTCGTCCTATAAGGTAGGCTCGCTCTCGCCACGGGAACTTGGAATTTCAACCGCGGGGTCAGGGCTGTGAACGAGAGAGGAGCGCCGACGCCTCGGCGCTCGTTTGAGCCCGCCGGTGACCGCGGGAGTCGATTTTAACGTTTGGTAATAAAAAAAAGCCCGACGTGCTTCAGGGCCCCGCGCCGCGCGTGCTGCTGCCACTGCTGTCACGGATCGTTCATTGACTTTGATTAATCCTCTGCGGCGCATTAACCGCGGCGCATGATTAATGCCGATAAACAGACTCGCCTGGACTTGCGCTGCTCGTTAAAAGCCGTAGAGCTAACGAGCTGGCGGATACTTGGCGCGGCCGTGAAAGGGCAAGGGCTCTTCGTGGCGCCCTGTAATGCGTGCGCGGTTCAGTTTCCGCGTGACCTTGGCGGCATTGCCCCACCGAGTGGCGTGGTCATCGTCTTCACGTCGCGAACACTCACACCAACAGCGCGGTGAGAGGAATGATGAGGGGAATGGTGAGGGGGGGTGGTGAGGGGGGTGGTGAGGAGGGCGGCGAGGAGGGCGGCGAGGGAGTGGGTGGTTAGGGCGCCGCGGTAATTAGCTGTTAACTACCTCGCCTGGTATGCAGAAGGTCGTGGGTTTGATGCTGAACCTGACGTCTGTTGTATATTTGGAGTTTGCGTGCTCTCCCCTTGGTCACGTGGATTTTTCTCCGGTTCCTCCGGTTTTACTCTCGACATTTAGACTCAACATGTGTTTGGAGTATTTTGGTGCTATACATTTCCACATGATAACTCACTTTTTTGATAAAATAAAAAAAATAGTTTAGTTTAGAGGAGAGCGGTGAGAGGGACGGTGAGGAAAGCGGTGAGGGTGGCGCTGAGCGGTGTAGGGCACGGTGTCGGGAGTGATGGACGGACCCTGGCTGATGCTCACGATGAGGCTGCTGCTGCTGCTGTTGACTTGGCCACACGCTACCGTCCCCGGCGTCATGCTCCTGGCCGTGTCGTGGCGGCGCCGCGCCGTATTCGCTGCGCCCGCTGCCCTCTTGGCTCCCAGGGGGAAACCACGGATGTGAACGTCTCCAGAACTGGACGCACCTCCCGTGGATATCCCTTGATGCACGAGAGCAGCAATAATTATCGCTAATGATAAA